GCTACTTTTGCTGTTGTGCTTTCTAGAGTCATAATGACGAGATTTGCTATTTTTTAGATACACCTTGCATCATGATGGTATTTTTTATGCAACTTCTGTTAACACTATCGAAAGCTTGTTTGAAGTCAAACAAGATATAGGTATTATATTGAATATAAGATATATATATTACAAATTCATAATATATAAACATACTTAACAAAATTTTTGTGTTATGCTACAAAGTATAATTTAATATTAATAGCACAATTACACGATGTAATTACTTATAATCTGTTTGTTTTGAAACACTTTTTTGAAAGTTTTGTTTAGGCTTTAAGCTTTGATTATTGTCTCTATCAGGTGATCATATATGTGTAATAGAAAATATTAATAAATAAATATCACACATAAGTTTATTATGCAAAGTAATATTTTTTGATTTTAACCGTGCGATATAATTAAAATCGAATTGGTAATTAATATATCCTTGGAGCCGCGAAATTTCGGTACTCCCGGTGCGTATTTAACAAAAATCGAACGAAAGGTTAAAAGTGATCTGAGTCAACTTAAATGTTACGTAAGAAAAATATGTTTTTCGTCTGAAACTTTACACACTATCGCAATAATTAAGATATGATAAAATTTAGGTTTTCTACCAACGTTTCACTCTTAACATAAAAATATATAAGGAACAAGTGTAGATAACCTATCAACTTTTCCCAAAACTTCGAAGAATAATATTTGAAATACACCAAGAAAATTTAAGGCCCGTTAGAAACAGGTTATTTGCATATTCAAGCTTTAATTTTGCTATTATTATGCGCTAAACTTATAATAATTAATTAATGAAATGAAATATAAGTTTCTATTAAAATATAATAGTCACTTTCGTCTGGAAAATTTGACGTTAAATTCCAACTTATATTCACAAAATATTGGTCTCGTCCGTGCGACTAGTGGAGTAATATTAGCATGACTTTCTCAGCATAACGTTTCTAGATTAGGTTCTATACATAAGAAAGAACAAATCATGCAACAAATAATGCCTCTACGAACAGAATAGTATTGAAATTTAACAATTAAAAATAAAAATATGATTAAATAATTAATTCAATTATTCTACAGCTGGTTAATGATTTCGTTTTAATATAAACACAGCAAGTAAAATTGTTAATAAAAACGTTCATAGCAAAAGTAACAAAACTCCAGAAAAATATGCGAAAATAAAAAGTCAAGTACGGCTTTGGATCAGTTGATTAAGGTGCGCTGATTCTGAGCTTCACATTTGGCAGGACCCGAGTTCGATTCCTGGTATTTGCAGTCTCAAAAATAATTATTTACGAATAATTAAATACAAGAATTATTTCCAAGATCACTGATGACGGGTATTTGGCAATACTCGAAACAACTGTATGGTCAGCCAAAAATTCAATTAATTAAAATAATATAAAAAAAAAATAAATTTTTGTTGTTGTATTTCACTACTGTTCGAAAAAACCTGTTTATAATTAATTTATAGCTAAATACATAAATACTTAGGAATTGACATTAATATGTAAAACAACAGATTGTGTGCTATATAGAAATAATTTAGATATATTTTGCGGGCTTGATAACATTATTATTTTTCGTCCGGCAACACAAAGCTCGTTATTTCTATGATTTTATCAAGAAATCAAGAAATTCGCATGTATAATTATCTGATCTTTTCAATTCTTACACATAGATGCAAGGTATGTCCACTAAATCACATTAAATAAACTTTTGAGACATATAGAAAGAGAACTTCAGAAAATATTAGACTCAGTGATACTCAACGATAAATGCTGTCAAATCCAGTACAATCTCAAGCATTAAATCTCTGAGTTTGCAATCTGTAAAGCATCCACAAAAAATGGGCATTAAGCAAGTTGGAAAACGATTTGTGGGCGTATTCAAGATATGCTGTCGAAAACATAGATTTAAGATGAAGAAGCTAATAACAATATCACACCAAATCGGACAAAGTAGAATGGTTCGATTATGGAAGCACTGTTCCACCTAAATTATAATGCCAAAAAAGATTAGCATTATTCTATTCTTTCATTGATAAACGAAAACTATATAGAAAACAAGAATAGTAAATATGATTTTTAGAGGGAACTTACTTAAACTTCTAAATCATTAACAAAGACTGTCAATATGTTAACATTTCTCCTAACGAATTACGAAATAATATTTTGCAGTAGAAATATAAATTGCTTGATGTTAATATCATAGTTTGACGTTATATTTTTTTGAGAAAAAAAATTAAGTCTATATTTCGGATTTGGATATTGTGTGTTTATTGCATTTATTTAAATTCAACTTATTTAAGAGTAACTTTTAGTAACTTAGAATCAGAATGATATATGAAAAATTTGTATTAATAGTTTCACACAGTTTTGTAGGAAATAAAACCATCCCATAATAATTATTTAACACTATACCTATCTATAACAACATTTGTTATTAAGTCTTTCTATTCTAAATTACTAAACGTATTTAACCAATACTTTAATAGAACAAAGATTATTTTTAAAGACTATATTGGAGATGTGAAATACTCATAATATAAAAAACTTCCTTTAGAAAGTTATGTGCCTTTATTGCTGTAAATCCTATAGTAACAGCAGAGTAAATAAATATTACTTTCCTCTTTTAACAACTCTAGAAATGACATTGTAGTATATCTGCATATTAATTAATTATTATCAACAAAAATTATTTGTTGATAGTAATATGATGATATAAGGTACCGGCACATGCCAAGAGCAAAGACCTGCATTGGTCATACACTTGGCATGTGAAGAATCGCAAAAGAGAAGTAATTTGATCCTTTTGTTCTGCGCAAATGAAAATCATAAAGTGCATTAACTTGCATTGGAATTTCATTTAATCCGAATTAATTAATAATAAAACAATTTCATTTTTTAAATTAATTAAAATGCATAATAAGCATTTTTATAGGAATAATACTAGGAGAACAAAATATTCAGGTAGGATAGTGTTTAGTTTAGAATGAGTATAAATACTGTAAAATTTTAATATATAAATTTAGATTGAAACCTGAACATTGAGTCTCAGTCTAGTTGCAATATAGTTATATTCGCCTCGTTGCGAACAATAAAGGCGCCTCGCTGCGCTAGGAAAATATTTAACACAACATTATCCTCTAATCCCTTTACAACATAAACTTTATCCAGTTAGCAATAAAAGTATCCTATTAACGCATTAATGAAATTCACCAATGAGAAATTATTTAGAGTAATTAGATTGTAGGGAGGCCAATTCTTGTATGTATTCTGATATTTGTGCTCAAGGTATCACATTTCGTTCACTGTTTTAAAATATCATTACATAGAACTAGATTAGTTACTAAAATTAAAGTAGTCCTTGACCAGTTCTTTATTTTTTAAAGAGTCGTAATGAATAAATAAATCATTGAGGGGCTAAAGCCCTGATATATGTCTGCTACAGTTATCCTTTAATCAGAAACATACTTTGATGTTGAATTTCTCCAAGAAAAGACATCTGTGCACTTTATTTTTAACTTTCGAGTGACAGAATAAATTTCAAGTGACTCATTTGAAATCACGTTGTCATTACCTTAGTCTTCTTTTCTTATACTAAAGTTGTGAATAAATATGTGGCTTGAGACTTCATAGTTAATTTTGAGAAAGTGATCCCAATGCTTATTGTACAATAGTTCTCAGTAATCACCTTTTACAGAATTTAAAGCTTACTTGCTGGACGCTAAAAGAATATAATAAATAATATTTTAGCTAAATGCGTATGTAAGATCAATGTCACCATGAAGCAATTTTTACAAGATATAAGACAAGATATACAAGATAATCCACCTGCGTTGAGGAGCCATTCAGTAAAGTTAAGTTCCACTATAAGCGAATACAGATTTATGCCAGAGTTAAGAGCTCAATTATGACATATACATATTCTACAGCACCCAAATCCGAATTCGGACGTCGTCTATATTTGTTCACAGTACAATTTTGTATTTAATAATTATTCCAAAGAGGTTTTTTCGAACAGTAGTGAAATACAACAACAAAAATTTTATTTTTTTTTATATTATTTTAATCAATTGAATTTTTGGCTTATAGCTGTTTCGAGTATTGCCAAATACCCATCATCAGTGGTCTTGGAAATAATTCTTGTATTTAACATAATTATTCGTAAATAATTATTTTTTGAGTATGCAAGTACCAGGAATCGAACTTGGGTCCTGCCAAATGTGAAGCTCAGAATCAGCGCACCTGATCAGCGCAACTGATCAGATGATCATATATTTCTGGAGTTTTGTTACTATTACTATGAACAATTATTACTTAAAATTGTTAATTACTATGAACAATTATTACTTTAAATTGTTAATTACTATTAACAATTTTACTTGATGTGTTTATATTAGAACGAAATCATAAACCAGCTGTAGAATAATTGAATTAATTAATTAATTATAATTTTATTTTCAATTGTTAATTTTCAATACTATTCTTCAATACTAATTATTCCAAACAATTTAATTGACTTTAAACTTAAAAATATTTTAAGAATATACCAGTTACACAAATATTATTTAGTAAATAATGTTGTGAAATATTTTTCAAAAAATTAATTTAACATTACTTAAATTTGTCTAAAGTGAACACCACTTTATTCCAAGTACTGATATCTGAAAACCAACAAAATAACTAAACAGGAAAAATTGGGGAAAAGTTGCACACTAAAACGATAGATAGTTGCTTTGTCATAACGATAACAGCAGAAGACCACATGCATAGCACTATGATCACACGAATATCAGTAGCTATTTTAAGTAGTCGATCTTGAAAATCCTTCAAATTAATATATAACATGCATAATCAAGTGTTTGTTGAGATAGATAATAATAATAATCTTATCGCATTTTAAACAACTCACGTTTTTTTATTTTTTGATATTCAACTATATAAGGAAGACTCAAATCGATAAGTCAATTAATTGTTCAGCGTTAACCGTGAAGATTGCATTGAAGCAATTATAGCTATATTTTAAATACTGTTTTTTATTCAAACGCTATAATGCGTGCTTTATTGCTAATATGTGTTACTATATTAGTCCTGGGCAGCACATGGCAATCAACAATGTGCTGCCAAACTGCAGGACAACTGGATCAACGATTCCAGTTTGCAAATTCTGATGTTTACATACGCCTGGTGCGTGCAACTAAACTTAAATACCAAATCATGAAAGGTAAGTAATAGCTTCTAAATTCCTGGAAAGTAAATAAATCAGGACACTCTTAAATATTTACTTAAACACTGTATTTAGTATTTAGTATTTAGTAAATAGTTGCAATTTAAAACTTTTAAAATATTTGTTTTTTCTTATAACAGGTTCAAAGGTGTTACAAACTGTTAGCCTGGATAATGTTTCTACAAATGGAAATCTGGAAGCAACTACAACTGGCAGCTATAAACTCTCAGCTACAGATGGAAGTTCAGTAGAATTTCAATTAATTTTATCAAGTGCAGACATTACACATGTACTTGTGACACGCGATGATGTGCCACGTAGTTTACAACCACGAGATTGCTTTGATCTGGATGTAGCACAGGGTACACATTGGTATGGTGGCGCTGAAGATCGTTACCAGTACTGGCCCGTAGAACGTCAAACTTATTCTAACTATTCATATTTAACTAAAGAAGATCACAATGCTGGTATCGCTGAACGTTATTGGTTAAATTCAAAGGGATTATTTTTATTTGTAGAAACCACCACACCACTTTTCATAGATCAAAATTCACAAGGATTTGAGAATCAATTATGTTTTAGTGCCTTTAGTACATTGCCATATAATGTACGTATGCCGAAGGTTAGCTTTACTTATCACATTGGTATCGGCACAAATGCTAAAGTAGCGCATATGCACGCTGTTAAAGAATTGTTGGGCATACCAACTGATCATCCAGATGAGCGTATGGTACAACATCCGATTTGGTCTACATGGGCGTTATACAAAGCAGAAATTGATGATACTGTAGTACGTGAATTTGCAGATAAAATAAAAGAAACCGGTTTTGAAAACAGTCAGTTAGAGATCGATGACGATTGGGAGGATTGTTACGGTGCACTGACATTCCGAAAAAATAAATTTCCAGATATTAAGAAATTGACAGACGATTTGAAAGAAAAAGGCTTTCGTGTTACACTTTGGATACATCCATTTATTAATAAAAATTGTACAGCAATGTATGAAGAAGCGAAATCAAAGGGGTATGTTTATTACAAATACTTCTGATATAATCATAATCGAATTAAACATCAAATTTAATAGTATTAAATATCATTTTTGAGAAATAGATGTTTTTGTGAGTGAGGGTTTTTAGAACACTGTTTTAATAATGAATATAGAATTCATTATTTTTTACTTAATAATGAATTTTAGGCGAAGAATTCTAAAAACAAAAGAATCACAAAAACTTGTGAATCTCAGAAATACCTTTGCACATCATAGACTTAACTACTAAAACTGTAACATATATTTAAAAATACATGATACTCATTATAGCTACCATATAATTTTAGAATCATTTCAAAGTAATTATAATTATCAACTTACCTGTTTCTCTTATAGCTATTTGGTTCTCGATCATGACGGCAATGCAGATACACAATGGTGGAATAGCATTCGTGGCGATGCAGCATACATAGACTTCACAAAACCAGAAGTGCAAAATTGGTTTAAGCAACGACTACAGCGTTTGCAAACAGAAGATGGTATCGATAGTTTTAAATTTGATGCTGGTGAAACAAGTTGGGTACCACCTGATCCAGTTCTCGAAGGAGAATTAAATACTTCACCCCATCAAATAACAGAAGACTATGTACGCACAGTTGGTAGCTTTGGTTCAATGGTTGAAGTGCGTTCTGGTCAAGGCACACAAGATATGCCAATATTTGTACGTATGATCGATAAAGATTCTGAATGGAATTGGAAAAATGGCTTAGTAACATTAATCACCACCTTACTGCAAATGAATATGAATGGTTATCCATTTGTGCTGCCTGATATGATCGGTGGTAATGGCTATAATAATAAACCACCAACGAAAGAGTTGTTCATACGCTGGCTACAGGCTAACGTTTTCATGCCAAGTTTGCAATTTTCCTTTGTACCTTGGAATTTTGATGATGAAACAATTGCTATAAGTAAAACATTCACTAAACTGCATAGTGATTATACACCATATATAATGAAACGTTTTAAACTGGCTGTAGAAACTGGAGAACCAGTAAATCCACCACTATGGTGGATAGCGCCTGACGATGTTGTTGCTCAAGGCATATATGATCGTACGTATTTGAAATTTTAACTATTTCATCAAAAATAAAGTATTTATTTTATTTATTTTTCTATTTATTATATTTTCAACTTACAGAATTTTTACTTGGTGACGATATAATTGCTGCTCCCGTAGTTATACCAGACAGCACCACACGTGATATATATTTACCAGAAGGTCAATGGCAAGATGGTAATACTAAACAAGTTTACAAGGGTCCGATATGGATAATGAACTATGATGCACCTCTTAATATCTTGCCTTACTTTGAACGCGTAGGATATTAGTACTCCTTCAATAGTTCAAAAGTATTAATTTTTGAAGTAATATATAAATAAATTCATTATTAAATAAAATTCATCACATTAGAAACTATAATCACAGTAGAAAATTATATGTGCACATAAAAAATAAATAAATTACATATATAAAATTCAATCAAATTGATTCTAGTGAGTATTCATTACATTCAGAAGAAGAATCGGATAAGTAAAGCATTTCCTTAACGTTGTTTAATTCGTTTCTATCAGAACTCAGTGCTTTTTGTTCCTCACTTAGTATATTGTTCAAGTTAATTCTAAAATTACAAGATAGATGCAATACAGAATCTAAAAAATATTTGTGCGTTCTTACGCATAATCACCGCCTTTATTATTTTTCAATAAAAATTCTTCGTTTTTGATCAATCTTAATTTTATTTTGTGCATTTCTCGTGTAGTCTTCACCCATTGATTCTTATAATAATTTTTTGATTTTTCCACTTCTGCAAAACGACTATTTTGACATTTCTAAAGACATAAAAAAAATAAAAAATAAAATGTTTTTAAAGTTAAAATATTTAAAAGATACTTAAATAGAAAATTTTAAGAAAATAAAATTTATAAATCAGAATCTTAAATAAAAAGAAATCGTAAAATTTTAATCTTCCTTTTCCTCAAAAATATTATCATAGATAATAGGTGCTGCACTTTAGAAATATCTAATCCAGAAAAATGATATCTAAGAACATAAGTTTTTCTATGTTGCTAGTCTTTTGTTGATTTCATGTACATACTAAAATTTATTGTAAGGGATCGGGAGCAAACTCGCAAGAACCAGATCAGCTACACAGATCGTAATTGTGGATGCAATTAAACCAAAACTAAGTCTTTGATAAAAAATTTGAAAATGTCTAAAAAAGCTCTGGATCGGACATCGGTCAATCACCCAATTTACAGTTAATTCATCATAATAAATAAATTAAGACGTAACTTTCCAGTAGAATATAGAATAGGCTATTAGTAAATTGTCTTAGGAGTAACGACGGCCTGCGCTATCATCTGAATAAAATGAGTCTATCTTAAAACAATGCTGTCCCTTGTAGTCCTGAAACAGATAAGACCACTAATCTGTTATTTACGATCGTCTGGTGTTGATGAAGAAAATACAGTCAAACCTCTCTATAACGAACGTCCCTATAACGAATTCCTCTCTATAACGAAGTTTTGTTGAACACACAGCGATTTTCATATATTTGAACCTCTCTATAGCGAACCTCTCTATAAAAAAACTCTCTATAGCGAATTCGTCTCTATAACGAAGTTTTTTCAGGTATGCAAACAAATTTTTACATACAAAAAAACCTCTCTATAACGAATTTACTCAAATACAACTTAAACACTCAACTAATACGTTGTAACTTATGAGAAACTTCTTTGTATGCAAACTATTAACTTGTTAGAATATTTGAATTTGGAAGAGTTCCTTAATAAGGAAAAAGTAAAAATGTCTGAACAAACTAAAATTACAGACTTACCAATATACAATTAATGTTTTTAATGTTTTGTATATATATATGAATAAACATGAATTAAATATATTTTTAAAATAATTAAGTACATATTTCTCAGTGAAGTGTCAAAAAAAAATTCAAACAAAAAAAATTTTTTTCAACCTCTCTATAACGAAGTTTTTTGTAGGCACCAATGACTTCGTTATGGAGAGGTTTGACTGTATTGCGATGGAAGTTTTTGTCCCCATTTGAGGACAAAGCATAGTACCTTTTTATCATAATTCTAATCTTCATAGATTAGAATCTAATCTTCTAATCTTTATTATATAAATTTAAAAATTTCATTAAGAACGTAATGAACGTATCTTAGCAAAAAAGAATTCGTAGTTTATTATTCTTATAAGTGATAACGTGTTTTAGAAAGAAAGTGTGTGTAGTTGGTCATCCTGATAAGTGGTAAAACTCTAATGGAATCAGTTATTATTGGCAATTCCATCAAAGACTAGAACATCATTGCATAGTAAATGATTAATTAATTAAATCTAACCTTTAAACAACTAAGCAGTTGAAGATTGAAATAAATTTAAAAAATATAATTATAGAAAAAACACATACTTGAACAAATTAAATATTTATGTTTGTACTTTCTTTTACTATTTTTTACTCTAATTTGTATTCCTTAATATAAATTTCTCTAAATTCTTTTTGAACTTTTTATTTTTTATTCCCATTTTAGAATTTTGTAATTGGTTTTTTTTTAAATTTTATTAGGTAATACTTGAACAACTCTACAATACATACGCCAATTGTTAATAATCCAATTAATATATTTATACCAATCTCCAATCTGTATATCTTAGTTTCTATTCGTCTCAATTTATATTTTATTATATGCAACATAATACAATTTTCTTACCATTTCATTAAGAAGTTCCTTATATTGTTCCGTTGACAAATTTGTTTGAGCAGTGGCAGCCAATTGACTTTCTACTTGTTGTATACGTTGCTTAAGTTCAGAATTTTCTCTTCCGAGCTTTAAATTTTCTACTTCCAATTCATTATTAGTAATATCTATACGTTTGTTTTTAATTTGTAATTCTTTTTTTAATTCCTGCATTTCATTTTCCAAAACATTGAATTTTGTTGAATAACTATTTTCAATATCTTGTTTAAGAGCTTGTACTATCTTATTTGTTTCAAGATGTTTGCTTTTATGTGCTTGGAACTCAATATGTGCCTTTTCTAATTTAAGATTAAGCTCATCACATTTCATTATTTTCGCTTCCAATCTAGCTTGTAAGAGGGTACGCCTTTCTTCCCATTGACGTTCTATATTCATTATATAAACTCGCTCCCTCATTTCTAACTCATTCAAAAATCTCTCCATTTGTTGACTTTTCCATTCTTCTAATTCTTGCACAATTTTGCATGCCAATTCTTCGTGTAGGTTTTCAACAAGGTCCGCTGCAATCCCTTCTTTTTCATTCATATCATTATTTATTAGAATAGAAGAAATTTTTATATTTTCCACTAAATCGTTCGTGCTGGTACTTTTATTCTCCTTCATATAAAAATTACTTTTACTTTGTACACACGACTGTTGTGATTCGACTGAGGGTTTTATTTGTAAATGCTCATCCGATTGAGTTGATAAGGTTGGCTCAGATTGTGCTCTATAACAGTCCATGTTTAACTGATTAATATTATTGTGATTACGCGCAGTCTGAGAACCTTGCGGTATATCATAAGAAGCAAATGGTTCATAATATCCATTTACAGATTCATCTTCACAATTTATATATATATTTGAATTACTTTTTGTGTTAGAAGATAGTAACTCTAATGAAAACATTATATCTATTGAAGGCCTTAAACTAGCAGAAACATTTGGCTTACAATAACAATCGAAATAAATTGTGCCATGCATATGCCATTCATTCTGCGTGTCAAAATGAGAGTTATCAGGCAAGAATCCCGTAAATCTTAAATTATGTCCAGCTGAATATATTTAATATTATAATATATTAAGTAAGCTATGATTTTGGAACAATTTACTCTACTCACCTATTACATTATCATTTAAGTGCAATTCAATTGGTATGTAAAATATATGTTGAAAATATGCACGTAAACTACTGATCGATGTTCTAAAGCTCATTGAAATCTTTTCATTTATTGGATTGCAATCATTCTCTTTCGCAAAGATTTCACAATTTGCTTCGGTACCGAGAAACACATAATGCAGTATAAAAGTATTAAAACCAGATGTAAAATTACTTTCGAACTCGTGTAGTTTATTAAGGTTTCTTATATGCTTAAATGTTAGCATCACTGTATATATATCAAAATCCAAGTCAATGTTATTTCCAACTTGTACAAGACCTTTATCTTCCAACAATTGAACGTATATATTTTTTTGTGTTTGGAGCATGTTTGTTGTTTCTGCTACATCTAATGGAAGTGTATCAGATGATTTTTTCTAGTAAAATAAATAAATAATGTTATCATATCGTTGACATATATTTTTATTTCAAAGTTTTTATTTTTTCCTATAATACCCAATTTAGCTAAATGCAAATGTTTCAAATATGTATAAAATAAATTTATGTTAAAAATCACCTTCCCCAAATATGGTTGAAATACTTCAGATTCCAAATTAGTTTTACTGGTGATAGCCAACAACAAAAATATTTCAGGTTTTCTGACACGCCACTCAGGATTTAAGGCACTCAATTTATGCCAATGCAATGTAGGCTGGAAATTAAATAATAATAAAATGATATTTAGAACATTCCAATGAATATGTTATGCTAACCTGTACTGCTCCCGTAGAAGATACAATTGGCACTACACGCATTGGCAATAACAATGTTCCTATCGGTTTGAGTGATCCATTTTCTGAACGGTGAAAAACCTCCATTTTAATAGGTCTATTCTCTGTTTTCATTCTAAAAAAAAAAACAAAAACAAAACTAGAATTATAACTATATAGCGTCGTTCATTCATGCGTAAACATTTTAATACGAATTATACTCATGTTGTTGTTTGTACTAAATTATAACAGACATTAGCATGTACTTCAAATTTACTGTTATTGTCATTTAACTGCACTTTTATCTATTACAATGAAAGCTTGGCTTTATTAAACATTTTTCTCACTTTTTAATGTCGATAAATGCACATTCCCATATGCAATTGCTATTAAACAGTGTAGTCGATCCGCTATTATATCCATCAACTTCAAATTTTACTCCACTAAGTGATACTCTCAAGTGTACCCTTTCTCGTTTGCGTTCCGTATAATCGAGTTCGCCATCTTGAGGTACTAAACCAATGCCTGTTCAAAAAATATATTAGCAATTGAATAGATCTTATACTTAAGGAATGAATATTTATATAAAATATTGATAATTCTCATACCTTCTAATACGTGTAAAAATATGTAGTAAATACTATCAGAGCCCCTTTCGCTGTTTGCACGGCTGCACATTCTATTATTTATACAATTCAAATATATTTTTGAAAAATTGTAAGCTGAGGAATTATTTATGAAATTTCAAAGTAAATGTCAAAAGCTGTCAAAATGTAGTGTTAGAAAATGATAAAACGACTATTCGGTAAGTTGATCTGTTGTAAGTAGATGATCTGGCGAATATATTAAGTTAATATAAAAACGTGTTCAGCTACATTTAATTAATATGTCTATTATAATGAGTATTAAAACGTAAGACCATTATTTCATGAACTGAAAAGTTTCACAGAATAATTGACGACTTGTTTCAGAAAGAGCAAAGTGTTAAGTGTTAAGTGTAGGGGCTATACCTGTATTCAAAAACTAGTTATTTTTAAAGGATTTAATCAGGATTTGACACAAGGCATATATTTTAACTGCATACGTTTTTCTAACAAAATTAGAATCATGTGGCTTCCTCGACGCGCAGTAATCAAAGGAAATGAACTAACAGATCAAGTTGCCTCTGCCTCCGCCGCCATCCGCTCTCCCTTTTTCTTATTCATCTAAATCTGTAATCTAAAAAAAGACATTTTAATCTTAATTAACAAACATATGGAAGACGAAAGAGCAATGAAATGATCAGCGTACAACCATCGCTACAAGTTCATCAATACCAGTGGATTAAAAAGAATATACCCACATTCATGCACGTAGACAACGTCAAATTTTTATGCGATTGCTGCATATGGGACATTTAAAGCTTTTTCATGAATATCTTTTGAGTGACGATCAGTAATCGAACTGCCCGTTTTCTAATAGTCCACCATCCATAGATCATATACTTTTAACAATTACCCTTCTTTTGATTCTCTTTGTAGTAAGATCTTTTCAATCATCTTGTGCCTTCTAGTTTATTAAAAACAATTACTGTTAAAAATATACTTTTGATAAATAAATATGTTAAGACCTGTAATCTACCCCTGGCAGCTGGTGCTCGTTTTTACTATCTTAGTTATAAGATTTTATATTTTTAAATTGATTATAATAAATTAATACACATAAATGTTGATATAAATATATATTTATTATGTACGGAAAACTGAAATTGTAAAACTTATCCCCTATAACTAAATTCCTACCTATTCGGTCTTCAAGTGTTATGTCAAAATATATGCGAATATTTCACCAAACTATTGATGAATTCTTTTATTTTATTTCATAACTAAGATATTAAAGTTCTAAATATTTGATTTGTTTATTTTAACTAAGCAATACTTAATTCAAGATTTCTCCTAGTGCTATCAATTGAAAGCATCATAGTATTTCTTTTCTTTTCGTTCAATCAGTCTTTTTAATTTAAGTTATAGTTTCAATAACTAATTTTTATTTGGTCTTTTTTTTCAAAAATATTCTGAAACTATATTCTGACATATTGAATAACTCGATACATTTTAAGACACATTATATTATTTCTCTTACTTTCCTTTATATCCGCGTAATTGAATTCAAGAAACAATTCCTTTCATTTAAAACCGCATCAGTTCTTGAATGAAACTTCTAGCAATTACATTGCAATTAAATTTAAGAATGTATGCATACTGAATACCCACTAAAGATGGCAGTAAAAATTATTTAAAACTATTTTAAAAGTGCAATCCTTACCCATAATACATTTGTTTAACAAAAAAGAAACTTGCACACTAACTACTTTATTAATTTACAACGATTTTTGCACTTTAAGTTCAATGCACAATTAACCTATAGTCGATGACTATTGTATCCTATACTTATATTTTAATAATAAAGCGCTGTTTAAGAAATATTTCAAAAATATGAGTTGCTACTTTGTTGTTATATCAATTTTAAAAGTCATCCTTATAAGTCTTCACGACAAGCCATGACTGTCCTTGAAGTCGAAAATTTCATGACAAAACCCTCCATTAGAATGTTTTATGTTATAAAAATCTTCAAGGAAAAATAAAATAAATACGGTAAAAACAAAATATTTTAGAGGACGACAAAAAATTTTATTTATTATACAATGTAAATATGTATAAAAACGATTTAAAGTAAATTTATTAAGAATAATGGTATTATTAATATTATGTCTTATTTGAATTCTTCAAAATTTCTTTAATAGTAAAGTCTTCCGTTTTGGTACAACATCTTCGTGATGACCAGTCTTTTGTCGATGCCTACGTAATAATATACCTTGAGGAAAACCTTCCCCACAAATACCACATTTAAACGGACATATGCCAGTATGTCTTCGTTCATGCACCACTAAATTCTTGGAATGTGTAAAACTTTTCAAACAGTATGTACACGCATAAGGACGTTCACCCGAGTGGATGCGCATATGTACGCGCAGCTTGTAGGCACGTGGAAAAGCTTTGTTGCACACCGTACATACATGGGGTTTCTCTCCAGTATGCGAACGACGATGGCACTGAAGATCAGATGTATTTGGAAATGCTTTATCACAAAAATCACAACTGAAAGGTTTTTCACCAGTATGTCGACGTAAATGTATAACTAAATTAGAGGGCTTAGCAGAAGCGAATCCACATAACTCACAAAGATATTTTTTTTCTGGCGCAGTGCTTTTAGTATTACCAATTTGTGTTTCGATTTCAGCATCGTTCATCTATATATATATTAAACAATCAGATAGACTATTTAGATTATATAATTTAATGAAACTTACGATAGCATGCATGGATCGAATGTGTGCCTTTAGGTTATCCCTCCACATGAACCTACGAGGACATTTTCGACATTGATAGTGCTTTAGCATATTTTTGCATTGGTCTTTATAATGTTGTTGTAATGATGCTTCTGATACAAATCTGGCATTGCATTTATCACAAACTTTTTGGGCATCATGCCAATTGTGATTGGACATTTGATGTTCGAAAAGTTTGTACTTGCGATGGAATGATGAATTACACAAATCACAACTATAAAATTTCCTATTAAAATTTTCTATGTAAGTAGACAAAGTTTCCGGACTATCATCTGTATCGGAGCTAGTGAGATTTAGCTCATATCCTACTTGATTTGTTATTGAATAAAAACGTTCAAATTTATGCCCAGCTATATCGGTCATTATACGTGATACTAATGTTTCTTTACTCATGAACTCCTCAGGATAAAGCAATTCAGATATTTCATTAATTGGTTGCTGTATTTGAGCAAAGTTAATACAAAATTGATGTGTACTCAAATGCAAACGAAGCTCAGAAATCTTAGTATGTGTGAATTGACATATCATACAACGCGCAATTTTTGGACTATTCGGTTTGCATAAATTTTCGTCAATATCTTAAGTACAAAAAAATAAATAGATGTCTTAATAAAAAAAAATTGATATGATGATATAATAATATATACCTTTTACTTTAATGAGTTTGGTATTTAGAGATGATGTTCTTACTCCAATTCCATGTACCTTTAAATGTGTATTCATATTATCTTTCCTATTAAATTTACGATCACAGTAAGGGCACTCATATTTTTCATCATCTCTTTTGTGCATATCACGTTTGTGACGTCTTAAGTCTCTTGGCCAAATAAAAATCTTAAAACAAATATCACATTGCAAATTCTGTGCTATTTCATCATTACTTTGCACCTTTAAATTAGTGTGTCGACTCTCTAGATGTAGTTTTAAATTTTCTTCCCATACAAACCTTGAACCACAATCATTGCACTGATATTTTTTGTTTGGGTTTAAGCAGTCTCGAACCAAGTGACTTTGCAACAAGGAGTTGCAAACAAATTTAATATTACATTCAGAACAATTAAAAGGTAATATATCGGTTGAGTGTACGTTATTTTGATGAGCTAGTATATGCTTACGTCTGTTAAAGTTTTGATGACAAAGTGTACATACATATATATTGGTTGGTAGTGGTTGATTTAAACTGTTATCCAAGCATTCCGTATCAGACTCTGAATCGTACAAATCCAGCTCGTTATAGGTTTCATCTAATGTAATATAATATCTTGACCAATTCTTTGCTACGAGATCCGCCGCAATAATGTTTGCTACCTCAGATTCACATCCTGCGCAACCATCTGGGTAAAAGACTTTGAAAAAATGACTTTCGGCAATTTTAACACCTGTAGATCCATCCGCATGCTGCTGTAGATGGGAACGCAGTTGTGATAATCGAGTGAAGTTCTTTTCACATAAGCAACATCGAATTTTCCGCACAGATACTACATGGCATTGATTGTTATGTTGGTTTAAATCAGTCGTTGTCAAAAATTGTTCACTGCATATATTACAGGTAAACGATTTTTTATTCAATTCATGTTTAACCATGTGAGAAGTTAATTCGTTCGATTTGGAAAATATTTCATCACATATGCTACATATAAATTCCTCACCTTTCTTTCTTGCACAATTGTGTTCTTTAAGATTTTCAAGCCATATAAATTTTCCAGGACATTTAACACATTTGTACTTCTTTTCTTTACAACGACACTGACTTCTTGTATGTAAGTTAAACATTTTTTCGCAAACAAACTTTACTTTGCAAATATCGCACCGATAAGGTAATTCATCATTAGCATGCACGTCCTTTATATGAGTGAAAACTTGGTGCTTACGGACAAATAACTCTTTACAAATCTCACATGAATATTTCGGAGTTTCCTTGTTGTCATTTGTGTCTATATCGGAATCACTAAGAGACATTTCGTATCCAAACTCATTAAGTACTAAATAATATTTATATAAATGGCGTCTTATAATATCTTTGCATACAATTGATTTGACTTCGCATAAACTCCGAGTTTGTGTAAAAAATTCTTTAACAATAGCGCTTTCAACAGTTAAAAACCGAAGCGATTCAATATTGGCGTGTGTTAACAAATGCTGATGAAGCAATTGTGTACTAAAAAATTGATAATCACAAATCTTACATTGTATCAATCGAAAAGGATTTTTCGAGTATAAACTACTAGCGAAGTTCCATTCTGGATGTTTTAATCTCTTAGCTTGGTGAGGATTCAAATGTTTTTTTAAATGTTCCTTTAAATTATCTTTACGGAAAAATTTACGTCCGCAAACCTCACAACAAAACTCAGGTTGAGCAGAATGATTTCGCTCATGACGTAGCACACTCTTCTTCCAAGCAAAAGTTTCACCACAAATTCTACAAGGAAAACGAGGTTGATTTGATTCCTTCGTTTTTTTTGCAATGCAACGACGTTTGCGAATATTCCTTATTATAGGTAGGTCTCTATAAAACATATTAATTGCACTAACTAATAAAAATAATTATAAAAGTTATTTACTTCTCTGTGTTAAATGTATCATTTTCTGAATTATTTGACTCAACTACCTCCTTACTTTCACTACAATTAGAAGAGAATTCGACTTTTCGCTTGCGTTTTCGTAGAGAAACAACCTTTTGTAAAGTTCTTTAAACAAATATAATTGAAACATATAATAGGAAAGTTTTAACATTTATAACTTTTAACTTACTTGCTGCTATTAATTACATCGTCTTTCATTTTTAGACCTGGCGCTGGAGGGTCCATAGATTTTACTAACATTATCGGATCAGTTAAGCATACATCTTTAGAAATATACAAATGGTTTGTATTTTACTTTTTAACAAGCACAAATTATAAAATTACCTTTAGTTTTGTTTTCCTCATCAGATATCATTTCATCTTTTACAGCAACCACACTTTCAAAGAGATTTCTAAAACACTCTGAACTCTGGTTAATTTTTATACTTTCTACTTTTATATTTCTGTTTTTCCGATGCGTATCTGTATTAAGAAACTCATCATAAGGTTCAGGTTCGCAAGTAATATTTTCTGCCAGAGTAATAGGTGTTTCCTGTAAGCAGTCCAAATTTTGCTTTTCAAAATATTTTTTGGATTGCTGGGCCTGCAGAACAAAGTTGTAAGCTATTTTCAGTTTGTACACGCAATTGTCACAAACATGCTTGGGGAACCCATCACCGTTTTCAGTTTTTACCTATTGAATTAAATACTCTAATTGCAATCACTTGCAAAGAAAACATTAAATAAAATTATATTTACATCAATTTTGGCTACTTCTGACAACATATCCGACAGAGAAGGCACATTATCAACTTCAGTAATTAAAGAATGTAGAAAACTGAGACTTGTTTTTTCAGTGCATGTTCTGCACCTCGACTCGTTAAAGCTGTTTATACTTACTTGAATTGAATCCATACCTTCTTAATTTAATCATTGTTTGGTATATTTTTGAATCTGCATTTTAAACAAAAGTGTAATATATAAACAAAACAAATTGCACTCTCAATATAGAAAATATTGTTATTCACAATTGTTTTAACTATTGTGATTTATTACGTTTAGCCAACACTGCCTACTGGAAAATGTATTTGAAAAATTTTTCATTAAATGCAAAAAGTTAATACCAACTTAGAAGGGCTATGTCTTAATCAATTACTTAACTCAGTTGCCTCAGTAATCTAAGAAAAATAAGGATGAAATAAAAAATTATTTAATGCAACAATTTAAGGTTGAATTATTAAATTAAATTAATTAAATTACAATTCACCTAACCAAGAAATCTGGTAGACAGGATTCTAACTGACTGTAACATCTAACTCTGGAGCAATGTACACACATGGCTCAGAAAGAAAAATTTGTATCACATAATCTTTGCTTTTTTTCTCGACATAGAAATATTGAAGGGAACAAATAGTATAAATAAATTATATAAATTATTTATATATGTATATTAAAATATTTCTCTGAAATTTTTAAAACATGAAATAAAATACTATAGATCGAAATTAATGTTTTTATTCATTCCACCGTAACTTGTCTAATATTTGCTGTAAGATTGGCCAATGTCTTAGTGGTCAAGTAGGGGTGCATTGTTAATATGTCAGTGACTGTTATCACAGTGGTTGGTAACCTCAGTTTTCCGACAATTGCTGGACACAGATTTAGCAAGATTGATGGCCTATGCCAGTGACAGGACTATAATAGTTCAAAATTGACATTTAGGAGATTTTTATACAAATTAATATGTTAAATAGAAAAACAAATGTGAAGGAAAGTGTATGTTTATTTTAATATAAATAGTGCACGTTAAGAAAATATAAATTAATATTATTAAGACATAAACCAAAAATAACCTATGATGTAAAAATCGAAGGGATTTTCGATTATTTGTTCTCCATAGCTAATTTGTGTTTACAAAGTTTTAAAATTCTAGCTTTTAAAATCTCCAATAATACTCTTTACGGTTTCGTAATGTACCCACATAGACCGTGAATCACCTGAGAACTCTATTTTCCGATTTTCTTTTCTGTAATGAAATAATAATTCAAATTTATAGAACTATTAAATTCAAAACTCCTAAATACCTATATATTTGAGTGATGTTATTTATTTTCACTTGAATTTCACGGGCACTGTAGTGAAATCCAATTTTTGCAAGCTGTACAGATATTTTTATATATATATGCTCTTTTCTATGTGTACCAAGAATATGTTTTAAATTCGACTTCCATAGCTTAAATAATGCTTGTTCCGCTTCTCGACTCCATGCATACCGTTTGTTATTTTTTTGATAAATCTTCTTTCGTTTTCGGTTGCGCAGTGAAACAATCTTTTGATGAGTCCTAGAAAAGAGATATTTCTGAAACATGTAACGAGAAAGTTTTAATGTATACAAATGTAATCTTACTTGCTTTTGCAACTTGTGATGTTATTTATTACTGTATCTGGAATTGGTGATTCCATAGATTTTACTATAATTGGATCTTGTAAGCGAGCAACTTTATATATAATAAAATAACAAAAACATATACTGATTATCAATATACCAGAACATAAATAAAGAACACATAGTCTAAAAAATTAATATGCCTTTCGAATATTTATTACCATTAAAGCTCTTTACTTGGAATTGTTTCTTATTCTCACATTCTAAATCTCCAATAATTCTCTTTAAGCTTTCGTAATATGTCCACACAGTCTCAGATGCGCCTGAAAACTGTAATTCGCGATTTTGTTTTCTTTAATAAAATAAGAATTAATTATTCTTGGATTATTTTTTTTTTATTATTTTTAACAAATACCTATATTTTTGAATCATGTTATTCATTTTCACTTGTACTTCGCGGGGATTGTGCACAAATCCGAGTTTACTAAGCTCTGCAGATATTTCTTTATGGACGTGCCCATTTTTACGTGTACGACTTAGGCGACACGAATTAAGTTCCCATATCTCTAGTAAAGCTCGTTCTTCTGTGGGGCTCCATACATCTCGTTTTTGATTTATACTATATAGCTTTTCTTTTTGCTTTCGTGTAAGCAATAAAGCAATACTCTGATAAGTTCTAAAAATGAAATTTTTTTGGCTTATACAACAGAAACGTAAAAACTTATAGTAAAAAAAAAATTTTAACTTACTTGCTTTTATATTTTCTATTGTGATTTATTTTTATATTTGATAATGGCGTATTCACCAATTTTTCCGATGGTATGGATTCATTTAAGCAGAGATCTTTACGTATACAAATTCTTTTTTCTTTACTTTTTAACTTATACAAATTATAAAATTACCTTTAATTTTAATTTTTTCATTTTCTACACCAGAACTCATTTTATCTTTTTGTTCAACATTATTTTTAAAAGGATTTTTAGTACTTTGTAAAGTTGTACCAATATTTATACTTTCTGCTTTTATATTTTTCATTTCATATTGCTCATCTGAATCGCTATTATCATCAGGTTCCCAAGTAAGATTTTCTGTCAAAGATATAGGTGTTTCTAGAAAGCAGTCAAAATTAAACCGCTCTTTGTACGTGTGCTACAATGCTTTTAAATTCCAAAATATTTTACCTTTTGATTTCTTCGAATTGGTTAATATCCTTTGTTGAAAAGAATTTGATTTTCTTCTTTTCGGTTTTGGCGACGTAGGCGTTGATTCTACCATCGAACTTTCCAACGATATTGGTGTTGTACTTTCTAAATATGATGGCGATGGTGGCATTAGGCCGGATCTATCTGTTATTCTTGACAATGAAGATTGTGTCCTTGCGTTTACATCAATAGATATTGAATCATCCAAACATACTTCATAAAATTCCCCATCCGAAATATTACAAAATATATTTTTAATACTTAATACTTTTATATAGTATATAACAAAATAACATAAACATAATATCAACTATATAAATATAGGAAAATTTACATAACTATATAAAACTTGGTGTAAATACTTGAATAATTATCGAATACTTATTTACCGTCAACGTTTTCTGTTTGGAGTTCTCCAATATTCTTACATTTGAAATCTCCAATAATTCTCTTCACTCTTTCATAATGCATCCACATTGACTGTGATTCAGCTGAAGATTTTATTTTGCGATTTTCTTTTCTTTAATAAAAAATTTTAACTATTAAATATTAAAGAACTTAAATATTTATTTATTTTATATACCTATATTTTTGAGTCATATTATTTATTTTGACTTGTACTTCACGGGGATTGTGCACAAATCCGAGTTTACTAAGCTCTGCAGATATTTCTTTATGGACGTGCCCATTTTTACGTGTACGATTTAGGCGATACGAATTAAGTTCCCATATTTCTAGTAAAGCTCGTTCTGCTGTGGGGCTCCATACATCTCGTTTTTGATTTATACTATATAGCTTTTCTTTTTGCTTTCGTTTAAGCAACATAGCAATATTCTGATAAGTTCTAAAATTGATATTTTTATGGCTTATACAACAGAAACGTAAAAACTTATAGTAAAAAAAAATTTTAACTTACTTGCTTTTATATTTTCTATTGTGATTTATTTTTATAATTGGTAATGGCGTATCCACCAATTTTTCCGATGTTATGGATTCATTTAAGCAGAGATCTTTACGTATACAAATTCTTTTTTTCTTTACTTTTTAACTTATACAAATTATAAAATTACCTTTAATTTTAATTTTTTCATTTTCTACACCAGAAGTCATTTCATCTTTTTGTTCAACATTATTTTTAAAAGAATTTTTAGAACTTTGTAAAATTGTACCAATATTTATACTTTGTGCTTTTATATTTTTCATTTCATATTGCGCATCTGAATCGCTATTATCATCAGGTTCCCAAGTAAGATTTTCTGTCAAAGATATTGGTGTTTCTAGAAAGCAGTCAAAATTAAACCGTTCTTTGTACGTGTGCTACAATGCTTCTAAATTCTAAAATATTTTACCTTTTGATTTCTTCGAATTGGTTAATATCCTTTGTTGAAAAGAATTTGATTTTCTTCTTTTCGGTTTTGGCGACGTAGGCGTTGATTCTACCATCGAACTTTCCAACGATATTGGTGATGTACTTTCTAAATATGATGGCGATGGTGGCATTAGGCCGGATCTATCTGTTATTCTTGACAATGAAGATTGTGTCCTTATGTTTACATCAATAGATATTGAATCATCCAAACATACTTCATAAAATTCCCCATCCGAAATATTACAAAATATATTTTTAATACTTAATACTTTTATATAGTGTATAACAAGATAATACAAACATAATATCAACTATATAAATATAGGAAAATTTACATAACTATATAAAACTTGGTGTAAATACTTGAATAATTATCGAATACTTATTTACCGTCAACGTTTTCTGTTTGGAGTTGTTCAATATTCTTGCATTTGAAATCTCCAATAATTCTCTTCACTCTTTCATAATGTATCCACATTGACTGTGATTCAGCTGAAGATTTTATTTTGCGATTTTCTTTTCTTTAATAAAAATTTAAACTATTAAATATTAAAAAACTTTGATATGCATTCATTCTATATACCTGTATTTTTGAGTCATATTATTTATTTTCACTTGTACTTCGCGGGCACTATGATAAAATCCAATGCTACTTAGTTGTTCAGATATTTCATTATATATGTGTCCTTTCCTACGCGTTTGAGTAAGGTGTTTTAAATTCGATTCCCACAGCTCAAACAACGCTTGTTCCGCTGCTGGGTTCCATACATACCGTTTGTTATTTAGTTTCCTTGTTTGCATGTAAACAATCTTTCGATCATTTCTTAAAAAAATTACTTTGTGGATTATGCGATATAAAACGTATATAAAGTTAACTTACTTCCTTCTACAGTCGTCATTATTCATTTCTATATTTGGAGACGGAATATCCATAGATTTCACTAATGCTATGGATTCATGTTTGATACATAAGTAATTTTCAATTCATTTTTTAACAAAACAAATTATAACACTACCTTCATCATTATTTTCCTCATCAAGTAAAGTTTCATCTTTTACTGTAACATCTTCAAAGATATTTTCATAGCTCTCCGAGTTCGTGTCAACATTGCTTTTCTCTATATTCGCAAATTCATCATAAAACTCAGATTTGCAAGTAAGATTTTCTGTCATAGTTATAGGTGTTTGTTGTGAATTGTTCAAGTTTTGCTTCAGTAGCATACAAGTCATCTGCTCAAAGTATTCATTAGATTGCTGGGCTTGCAAAACAAAGTTGTAAGCTATTTTCAGTCTGTATACGCAATTGTCACAAATATGCTCGGGGAACCCATCACCGTTTTTAGTTTTCACCTATTGAGTTAAATGCAGCTATTGTATTAGTTTGCAAAAAAGAACATTAAATAAATTGAATTTACATCAATTTTGGCTATTTCTGACAACATATTCGACAAAGAAGGCACATTAGCTTCATTTGTCAACAAATGCAGGAATCTCAAACTAATTTTCTCGCAGCATGTTCTGCACCACAACTCATCAAAACCGTCTTCGTTGTCTTGACTTGAATCGAAGTTTTTTGAAATTAAAGATTGTTCAGTATATTTTTGAATTTGCATTTTAAACTAAAGCGCAACATAAACAAAACAAAATTCAACTCTCAATATAAAAAATTATTATTCACAATAGTTTTGCTTATTTAACAATCAGTACTGCCAGTAGCTTTTTAAACGAAAAGACCAAACCACCATTTTTAAAGCCCAATATTCGGAACCATGTAATGTAAAAGTAGACATGATAACTATAACATTTAAATGTAACAATAGGTATATTAGGCCTCTCCGATTTGTGGCAAAAAATAGCAACACTCGCAAAAAACGCATGTTTTTCTATACTCGCTAAACAAGACATTGGCATCACTGTTGCAGTCTGTAAGTGTTATGTTTTGACAAATAGCAAATCTTGCATACGTGCACATGATGTAAGCAAATTACATTTTGTATAAAATCGATAAAATGAATACAGAATTTAAAGGAATGATAAAAATTTTTGAAATAATACCAAATATCCAATCTATAAAAATTTTTAATTTTGTTTGAATACTTGTTTTTATATGATTTTTGACATATGATTGCAATATTTATTGGAATTTCCAATGAAGGTTCACAATAGTTCGCTTCTTGCGTTGGTAACACTTTTTTCTTTACTGGCCGAAGTGTAAGGCCAGTATGCAACTACTGGCCTAGATTGAGAAAATGGGTTTGTTGTTTACATATACATACATTTCGGCCAGTATAGCCAGCAACTTGGTGTTGGTAATATGAATTGAAAATATAGCAACAATTTCTATACTATATCACATATACTTCATACGCACATTCAAAATCTCTTTGCATGTTTCGAACACTTAAGATCATTGTATTATACGCAATATATACAGTGAGCGACAAAACTCTACATACACCCCCCATTTTTGCTAGCTCGTAAATCCAAAGACATAATAGAAAAAAGTAATGAAACAGTTTTGTTTAGAACTGTTTTTTAATAATAATAAACAAAAGAAAATTCATTCATCAATATAAATTAACGAAGTTATTCGAAAAAAACCTAAAAAAATCATTGACAAAAGTCTACATACACTTCATTGATTGTTACATTTAGTTGACAGTAATTTAAATGTTAAACGGGAAAGTACCGTTTTTCATATTTAATGCTTGTTGTGAGTGGTATTTAATTGACACGATGGATCCACGAAAAGAAAATTCAAGTGATATGCGAAATCTGGTTATTAAGCATAGAAATGAAAAAACACCTTATGGTAAAAGTATCAAAATTAGTAAATTTGACTCGATCAACAGTTCAGACGATAATAAGAAATTATAAAAATACTGGTTCTACTGAAAATAAGCCTCGCAGTGGCCGCCCAAGGAAACTCACACGTAGGGATGTCAGCTTGGTTTTAAAAGAAGTTAACAAAAATCCGAAAGTAAGTGCCTTAAAATTAGTCGAACACATTGCTAATGTAACTGGAAAGCATGTCAATCCACGTATAGTACAAAGAACGTTAAACAGCCACGGTTTTCATGATAGAATACCACGCAAAGAACCTTTAATTTCTGAAAAAAACCGAAAGCTGCGCTTAGAGTTTGCCAAACAGTATAAAGAAAAGGACTTTGATTTCTGGAAGCAGGTTTTATTTACAGATGAATCCAAATTCAATATATTTGAATGCGATGGGAGAGCTAAAGTTTGGAGGAAAGCAAAAACAGCACTGAATCCGAAGCATATAATGCCAACTGTAAAGCATGGTGGTGGCAGTGCTATGCTTTGGGGAGACGTAGCTGCAACTGAAGTAGGAAAAATAGCTTTGACGTAGATTGGCATGCTTCCTAGTTGCACTAGCAATGTGTTCGACTAATTTTAAGGCACTTACTTTCGGATTTTTGTTAACTTCTTTTAAAACCAAGCTGACATCCCTACGTATGAGTATCCTTGGGCGACCACTGCGAGGCTTATTTTCAATAGAACCAGTATTTTTATAATTTTTTATTATCGTCGGAACTGTAGATCGAGTCAAATTTACTAATTTTGATACTTTTACCATAAGGTTTTTTTTCATTTCTATGCTTAATAACCAGATTTCGCATATCACTTGAATTTTCTTTTCGTGGACCCATCGTGTCAATTAAATACCACTCACAAAGCACAACTAAGTACATTATATAAGTGTATGATTCATGCCACAAGCATTAAATATGAAAAACGGTACTTTCCCGTTTAACATTTAAATTACTGTCAACTAAATGTAACAATCAATGAAGTGTATGTAGACTTTTGTCAATGATTTTTTTAGGTTTTTTTCGAATAATTTCGTTAATTTATATTGATGAATGAATTTTCTTTTGTTTATTATTATTAAAAAACAGTTCTAAACAAAACTGTATCATTACTTTTTTTCTATTATGTCTTTGGATTTACGAACTAGCAGAAATGGGGGGTGTATGTAGAGTTTTGTCGCTGACTGTATATATAACTCAAATTTGCTTTTAGCTGGCTGCTACGAAATCATGGGAACCATTTTTTTTTTCTGTATTCGCAATCTGTATATTATTTGTCTGTGGTAATGTCTTAATAATTTTGGAAATTCAAATATTTTTTAATTTCATTATTTATTTAGCATGGTAACATTGTAAAAAGTGTAGAAATGTCAAAGACGTCATTGCATTTTTAGTCAGTCTGCAACAACTAGTGAACTATGTTGAGTTATTAAGAAGTTGAACGAAAGTTGTCGGTAACAAAGTAAGTTTTAAGATTTAAAATATGTTTGTTCGTGAAATATACATTACTCTTTCTTTAACTGTATAATACTTTATCTTTCAAAATTGCAACACCTTTTGTAAAACAAAAATATTATTGTCCATACACGGTATTCTACACTACAGTTCCAGTTGATCCTGTTCTTTGACAACACTTATAACAACATTTCGGCCTTTTCATTTAATTTGCTTCAATTTCATAATTAAATTTTAAAATTTGGAAAGAAATCTATTTCTGTTTTATAATTGGCTTGATTAAATTCTTGCCACACATATTATATTGTAACATATATTATTAAACATAAATTGAAGCTACCATGTCGGACATTTTTCACAATTTTGATAGTAACGGCGCTATTGAAGAATCACAAGATACTAACATGGCATCACCACTCGAAAGCCCCGTCAGTACATTTAGTTCTAATCCAGTCAGTGTGAGCAATACAGCTGGAGCAAACATACAGAATGTACACAATTCCAATCCAAGTGTAAGTGCTTCTGCTCCAACATCAAGTGTCAAAAATACTAGTAATGATAATCAACCGGTAAGATTGTTAACTTAATCGACTTAATAAATAAATCTTTTTAATAATTCTTTCTCCTTAATAAATTAAAGATTCTTACAAAACCTAGACTAATGGAATTGGTGCGTGAAATTGATACATCTGTACAACTGGATGAAGATGTCGAAGAAATAATTTTACAAATAGCTGATGACTTCATTGAAGATGCGGTAAGATCCGCTAGTCAATACGCTAAGCACCGAAAAGCAACAAAACTTGAAGTACGTGATGTGCAGTTACATCTGGAACGTAAATATAAAATGTGGTTACCAGGTTTTGGCACTGATGAGTTACGGCCATATAAACGTGCTGCCGTAACTGAAGCACATAAACAACGACTTGCATTAATAAGAAAAACAATTAAAAAGTATTAATTTTAAATTCGAAAAAAAATATATATTAGTCTAGGATAATTTTTAGTTTTCCTAATGTATGCTCTATTTGCGGTTAACATTTTGTAACCCATACAGATAATTCAAACTTGAACTAAAATTTTTATTTAACGTTTTTAAACAAAAAACTTAACTTCTCATATTATGAAAAATGTCATGTTTATAACAGCATTTAACTTTTAATACTAATGATATAAAAGCATATATAATTGGCGACAGACAAGCGATTTAAAAAAATAGAGTCTTCTGGAAAGAAAAACAGAAACAAAAATATTGTTTAGTAATTAATGTTAGATAAAATTAGTTCTTAATATCATTGCCGTGTTGTTGAAGTAATAAAATAACAAAATATGGAAAAAGCATTAAAGTAATTTATAGAAATAGCAGTGGAAGAGATAGATAGGAACGGGGTAATTTAACATATTTATAGAAACCAATTTGAATTCACAAAAAAACATAGCATATTGGAGGACATATATAATATCCGTCTGAAATTCTTCACTTAAATAAATAGAATAAAAATGTATTTTAATTTTATCTAAAGTTATAAAGTTAAGCTAGATACTTTCAGAAATCGCATCAAACAATATTGTATCGATAATAATAAATTATTTATATAAATGAAAATTTTTGTATCACGTCCCTCAAAATAAAACGAAAAATGATGGTATATAAAAATTTATTTAAATTTATCCACTTAAACATTCTAAATAAAAGTAGTTTACATTTTTATGTTTGCTTAGGATTTCATTAAAAAACTATATCTTAGTTAAATTTTATCTATACCTTCAAACCCTGAAATATAAACATAACATCTCGTTAACGTAAATAACGATACTTACGGGAATTGCATGGATTTAACTAGAAAAAGACTATATGAAGACTGAAAAGAGTTTATATTAAGTTTCGAATTTGTCTTTAAATATATTGTAGTTAATCTCATAAAAGAGTATATTTAGTCACACTAAAAACTTTTCTCGCTTACAATTTTTAAAAGAACAATCCCTATGATTTCTAATTCTACATAACAAAAAAAAAAGTCAGATTCAAATTGTTAAAGAGAAACAACTTTACCAAAGCGAAAAGGAATGTTAAATGCAACAGAGTTCAGACTGGCTTTAGAAATGTAAAAATTAACGAGAAATGCTAATAGTCTAATAGTACGACAAAGCTACAATATTTATTAATTAATTAATTTCTAAATCGTTGTTATATCATTTTCGGATATATCAATCAAGTATTCTCTTTAGTTATTGCTGACAGTCTGTTTTTTACACTTTACGCCGATTTGTTGCAACTAATCAAATAAGTGTTTTATTTATTTACTTTATTTTTGTTGTCCGTCATTGTTGTCGTTTGCTCGTCTGTGCAGGCGATTGGTACCTGTACGTAGACGTACAGAGTTTTGAATTGAATCCTCGATACTTGATTGTTTGCTCTTGTCTATGTTGTCAGAAGATTTTCGGAAATCTATGTATGAAGGCTGGTATCATTTTTATAAAATATTTGAGATTTTAGCAACTATAAATTAGATCCGGTGGTTGGTTGATAAATTAATTGTAATCTCCACAATGGATGTTGGGCCAATTGGCAAGATGCTGTATCTATTTTCGTTTTGATTGCTCTTTCTATTTGTCCAAATTCTTGTATTTTTCTTTGATATTAAGTACCCATTAGATTGAAAAATCTAATGAAAAGATTAGTGTCGAAATGTGGTCCAATTTTTGTTTAATTTTTAATAAAAAATATTTTTTGCTGTTTAGGTCGCTAATGGGTATTTATTTTATATTTAGTTATGTAATCGTCAACCCACATAATGATTTTCTATCCCAATCGAGAGTTTGAATTTTGAAAAGAATGGTATATACAATGATATATCACTACTAAACATTTCTCGCTTCATCTAGCGTTTTTCTACTTGAATAAAAAAAAATACTAACTTCGGGCAAAAAATATTAAAAAATGTTTAATTTTGCAGTGTAATGTTATTGGAAAATTTTTGAATATTTGCCTAAAATCTGCTAAGTTAGCTTCCATATATTTTAACTTAATTTATTGCAGTAGTAAGATTGGGGAAAGAAGTAAGTCAAAATATAATATCTCATAATAGTAATCAAGCCCTCTAAATTATACCTATTCCAATAGTAATGTTTTTCTTTTGGGTTCTATATCTTCATGATGACCAACTAATTGGCGATGCTTTCGCAATTGTGCACCCTGTATAAATCCTTGACCACAAATGCCGCAAACAAATGGACGTTCACCGGTATGTCGACGCACATGCAAGGTTAGATTTTTCGAATGCGTAAAGCTTTTGTTGCAATAAGAGCAGATGTATGGACGTTCTCCTGAGTGCGTACGCATGTGTATGCGCAATTTGTATGCACGTGGAAAAGCTTTATTACAAGTATTACAGATATATGGTTTTTCACCAGTATGAGATTGACGATGTGTCTTTAAATCAGATGTATTTGGAAATGCCTTATCGCAAAAATCACATTTAAATGGTTTCTCGCCTGTATGACGCCTCATATGTATGACAAGATTGGATGGTTTAGCTGCAGCAAAACCACATAGTTCGCACAAATATTTTTTATCCGATACAACAGCTTTATTTCTTTTATTGCTGCTTGAGTTAATTTTAGCTTCAATTTGTGAATCATCTGTCTGTAAAATCAACAAGTGTTTATTTGAAATAAAAAAGTAAATATTTGATAACATTGTTAATGTAGAATAAAATTTCAATTTTAAATCTATTAGATTTACCTCTAAATGTATAATACGTAAATGCATTATAAGGTTATCCTTCCACATAAATCTTCGAGGGCATTTAAAACACAAATAGCGTTTATGCTTATTTTTACACTGATTGTCCAAATGCGTTAGTAAACTAGAAGCAGACAGGAACCTACTGTCACAACAGCTGCACACGTGTTGTGCTTCATTCCATTTATGTTTCAAAAGTTGATGCTGGAATAGTTTATATTTACGTTCGAATGAGATACCACAAAGGTCACAATAGTTTAATTTTGTTGCAATAGATTGTTGATTAGAAGAAAATTCTTGAGCAGAGTTCACATTATATTCTTCACATTCCGTATCAGAACTGAAAATGTTCAATTCATAGCCCACCTCATTTGTAATAGAATAAAAATGATCGAATTTTTGTCTAGCAATATCAGACAAAATACGTTTAGTTAATATCTCCTCCTGCATTGGTGGCTCTTCGGGATAAATCAAGGCACAAATACTTTCTACAGGCTGTGTAAATGACAAAAAGTATCGATGATTACGAAGATGTGTTTGAAGTTCAGAAATTTTGTTGGTTTTATATTGGCAAATCATACAACGCGCAATCTTAGTACCATTTGGCTTACATAAATATTCATCAATACCTGTCGAAAAAAAATCTCAAAATTTAGGTGTACTGTTCAAAAAAATAATCAAAAGTCTTACCCACGGCTCTTACTGCTTTCGCATTAACTAATTTATCATCGTTGCTCATATGTTGTTCCTTTTTATGCCGCGTTAAATCTCTTGGCCAAATAAAGACTTTATAACACAAGTCACATTGCAAGTTCTTTGCTATCTGTAGGTTTTTCTGCACTCTGTTAGCAGGATGTCTCGCTTGCATATGTAGTTTTAAATTTTCTTCCCAAACAAAACGTGATCCGCACTCTTCACAATGAAATTTTTTATTAATATTAAGGCAGTCGCGACTCATATGATTTTGTAAGAGATAATCACAAACAAATTTATTATTACAGTGTTTACAGACATAAGGTAATTCGGAATTTGTGTGTTCAGTATTTTGGTGCTTCAGTAAATGTTTACGCCTGTTAAAGATATTTTTGCACAAGCTGCATTCATATACCGCAACGTTTTGACATTCATTATCTGTCTCTGAGTCATATAAGTCGATTTCATTATATTCCTCATCCAATGTTATATAGAAAAGTGATAACCTTTTCGTTAGAAAATCGTCTGCAATATTAGTAGTGACTTCATTTTCGCGGCCTACGAAACCTTGTGGATAAAATATTTTGAAAAAGTATCCTTCATTTAAATTGATGTCAACCAAACTATCTGCGTGTTGTTGTAGATGTGCTCGGAGTTGAGTTAAGCTTGTAAAACTTTTTTCACATAGACAGCATCGGATCTTACGCCCTGTAAGTGCATGTTTTTCATTAAAATGTTGTCGCAACTCATCTGCCTGGGTGCAGTGTTGATCACATATTGTACAATCAAATAAACTCTCATCCACATCGTGTTTATTCATATGAAATCGAAAGTCACTTAATTTCGTAAAAGTTTCTTCACAGTAGCTACATACCAACTCTTCCTCTTTACAATTGGAACACTTGTGTTCTTCTAAATTTTTTAGCCACATGAATTTACCTGGACATTTGACGCATTTGTACTTTTTCTCTTTACAACGGCATTGACTTTCCGTGTGCAGTTTATACATCTTTTCACAGACAAATTTTAATTTACAAACAAGACAACGATATGGCAGTTGATCTGTTGAGTGCTTCTCTTTAATGTGTGCAAAAACGAGATGCTTACGCAAATAAAACTCATTACACAATTCACATTTATATTTCGTTACTTTATCGATTTCTTTTGAGTCCACATCGGAATCACTGAGACACATTTCATAACCAAATTCATTAACTACTACAACATATTTAGACAGTAGTTGATGCGAAATGTCCTTGCATATGCTAGCCACAATCTCATTTAAATCTTCGGTTTGTGTGAAAAACTCTTTTACAATGTCACTATCCAGTTTTAAATGTAGTAACGTATCTGGATTGGAGTGTACGGCTAAATGTTTACGTAATGCAAATGTGTTGTTAAAAATCATATCGCAGATTTTACATTGTATCTTTTGGAATGGTTTGTCAGAATATAAGCGATTGCCGAAGTTCCATTCAGGATGACGCGGTTTTCTCGATTGATTTGGTTTTAAATGTTTCTTTGTATGATCATTAAGTTTGTCCTTACGAAAAAATTTTCGATCGCAATAGGAGCACTCATATTGTGGCTTAGCAAAATGGGATCTCTCATGGCGTAGTACACTATTCTTCCAAGCAAATGTTTCGCCACAAATGTTGCATGGAAATCTTCCTTCATTTGATTCTGCTGTATTTTTAGCAGCGCGTCGTCGTTTTCTCACTGGCCGATAAGCGAATCTGTAATCATATATAAAAAACATAAATCGCATATTATATATTTATGCTGAACATACTTTTCGCAACTATCGGAATCATCATCATTCTTTGCACCATTAGATTCATTGCTATCAGACTGCCACTGTGTATCCATAACGGTAATGGGATCAACAGTCACAGAAGCTAAAAATATATATATTTTTTTTAATCTATTACAATTGGTAACCATTTAATTACATGCTTCATCCCGATTTGTAGGTAATATAGGTTCTGTTGCCATAATACTTTTAACAGAAGTGCTTTCATTCGTTTTCGTTGCTTCTGAATGTTTTAAACTTACATCAGCAATCAAGTTTGCATCCGTTTCCGAGGAGAATTCAATATCTTTAAACGCATCGTAACCATCAGTTTCTTCTAGGTTTTCAAGTTTTATTTCCATACTCTCCATGTCAATAGGTGCTTCCTGCAGGCAGTCCACTTGCTTAACATGTACTTTTCTGACATTTGAATTCAGTTTCTCAATGAATTGTTTATTTACTTGCTGCGCCTGCACTACAAACGAATAGGCGTTCTTGAGTTTATAACTGCAATTACCGCACACATATCTAGGTAAGTCGTTATTATCGTCTTCTGTTTTGATCTTTAAATAAAAATATTAATAATTTTTAATAAAATCGTTTTAAAGATTGGCTTTACATTTATTTTGGCTATTTCAAGTAACATATCGGCAAGACTTGGGCAGTTTTCTACTTGCTCTTCCAGAGAATGAAGAAAACTGATACTGGTACGTTCATTGCACGTTCTGCACCAGGACTCATCAAAGCTCTCTTTGATTTCTAATTTAGTTTCCATATTTTAATCCTATCAATATTTCTACACATTTATAAATACACAGTTCTGCACTTATTGTAAATTCCACTGGTTTTCATACATATGAGGTATGTTTTAAGTGTTGGAAGTAGTACCAATTAATTAATTTTTTTTAAAAATATGCTTTCAATGTTGGAAGTGGAACCAATCAAAGAATTTATGTAAAAAATTTCTTAAAATTTGTAGAATCGATTTTTAACTATCTATTACAAAATAATTCTTATTCTAATTTTATTTATACGCTGTGTAGCACCAAATAAATCTATTGATTAATCCACTTGTTGTATAAATAAATGATATTAAACACAAATAACATGTTCCTATAGTATTCTTACGGTTACATATATAAAAAAAAATTATAACTCTATTCACATAGGATAAATAATCGTAATTTCGCTTATTCGGCTCGATTCCTTACAAAATGCAGAAAACAGCCGAAAGTTTAATAATTTGTGTTAAATTGAAATTGAGTTCATAATATTATTACTTATTAGATGTTAAGCTAATAAAACAGATACTACACTTTGATCTTAGCCTTATGGTTGTAAAGTTCAGAAATTTACATTTAAAATCGTAATTACGATTACTCACGCTGCGTTAAAATGCTATAACGTAGAATTTAAAACTATGAATCAAGAGTAAAACGCAATGAAAGTATAATTTATTGTTTATATTGTTTGATAATACATGAGTTGGTATCTGCACCACTTTTTCTTAACATGTGATCTAACATAATATACATATTATTCAGATATCCTATCTGAAGGTGCATCGTTCGCAACATTCGCAGGTAACCGTACCTGCAAAAATTCGTTCGTTCGCAACCGTTCACTTTTGTGTGGATGCACCTTGAGGCACTGAGGTGTGATAATAAAAGTAGGTTTTAAAGTCCGTTATATCTTTCTGGTGAAATATAGATTGTATTTATTTTACGAGTAGTTAATGCGCTGTAAGAATTATGGGCATCTGTAAAATCAATCAATTTTAGAGTTCTGTCTTCAACGCTTTCGATTCCTTGATCTCTTTTTATTTTACCGTGGTGCGTTATTTCACCACGTAGTTTACGTTTTAAAATCATGTATTGGCAAGTTTAAATAATTCTTAATAGCACATGAAGCAGAATTGTCATGAGCCATTCAACTATGAATCAGCACTTGTTTATGGAGCACTGTTTAACTTTTTGTCCTCGACTTATCATGTATTACATCGCTCAATATGTCGCACGACTGACACGCAGATGGTGCTGCCATTGTCAAATCCATATGACGTTGATGAAGTACCAACCTTCAAAAGACTATGTGTAAAATTTCATGACATTGCGATTAATCAGGAAAAACAGCCGTTTAAGCAAATCTACTTCTGTTATTTTCAAAACAATGGATTCAAAACAATTTCGTGTGTTAATTTATCATTGTTTCTTGATGAAAAAAAAACTGTACAAGCTAAGCAATGGCTTCAAAAGTGTTATCCGGACTCTGCTCCATCGTAAAAAAACATTTGTTATTGGTTTGCTGAATTTAAATGTGGTCGAACAGCTACCGAAGACAGTGAGAAAACATCAAAAGTCCAGAAATTGTTTAAATCTAATTGTAAATTGAAATTGCGTGAGATAGCTGAGACCATAATGATATAGAAGGCAATGTGTTTACAATTATGCATAAACATTTGACCATGAGAATGCTCTTTTCAAAGTGGGTGTCACGTTTACTCACAGTCGATCAAAAACAACAACATGTTGATGATTCAGAGCAGTGTTTGGCCATGTTAACACATAATAAATCAGATTTTTTGCGTCGACATGTGACAATGGATAAAACATGGATCCATCGCTTCACTCCGGGATCAAAACAATCATCATCTGAGTGAACTGCAGCCGGTGAACCACGTCCGAAGCGTCCATAGGCACAACAGTCAGCTGGAAAGGTTATGGCTTCAGTATTTTGGGATGCACATGGTATAATATTCATTGACTATCTCGAAAAGGGAAAAACAATCAATAGTAACTACTACACCGCATCACTGGATCATTTGAAACCAGAAATTGTGAAAAAACGACCGCATATAGCAAAGTCAAAAATTTTGTTTCACCAAGACAATGCACCATGTCACAAGTCAATAAAAACGATGGCCAAATTGTTCGAATTACACTTCGAATTGCTTCCTCATCCACCGTATAGTCCAGATCTACTACTGGCTATTCGCTGATTTTAAAAAAAATGCTCACCAGTAAGAAATCCACCTCAAATGAAGAAGTAATTGCTGAAACTGAAGCCTATTTTGAGGTAAAAGACAAATCCTTCTACAAGCACGGCATCGAGAAGTTAGAGAAGCATTGGAATGATTGTATTGCCCTTGAAGGAGATTATATTGATGAGTAAAATCGATTTTGGGCAGAAAAAATTTTTTTTTCTTAGTTAGTCGGACGACATATTGGGTGATGTGTTATTAGTAGTTTAAGAACATTCGTTGATTTATTGAGATTTATGTTTTCCAAATAAAGCGCTTCTTAAAATTTAGACATATATATTTTACATTACTAACTATTTAATTTCAACAATATTGATTTTTTAGTATCACATAAAGGCAGCAGCTTATCACTACTCGTAGGCCATATTCACCGTTTTTCAATCGTACAATACTCTTTCTGTGATAGTGTATACATACAAAATTAAACTAAAACAAATTTTCACAACCATAATAATGTACTAGTATTTTATTAGCTTATACGATAATTGTCTTAATGATATATTTAACTATGTACATTATGGTTTTTTAAGCACAGAATACATACCTAATAATTACTACTTTCAGATGTTTTCAGATGTTACTGAAATATATTCCTCCTTCCTTTGAACCGCTTGCAATGAACTTACAACTTATGCTTCACTTAGACTGCTATAAAGCTTCTTTTCATTGATAAGATTTTCAAGTCTCAGCTTATGTTTTGTTACTTTCGTAACTACGCCACCAACTTTCATTATAGCGGCTGGTCAAGCTTTTTTATTTTTTAAAATCACATCAAAAAATTCATCCTGCTTTTGAAAAGAGAAAGTCATATCAGCCTTTTGAATAACAGTGAAAAATAATCCATAAACGTTTTTATATGTTTTAATCCCACAATTTGTAATAGAGTTATATTTTTCTCTGCATTCATCCAATAATGAGTACTTTGTTAGTAATTCCTTTGAAAACATATAATCGACCAGCTCATTAGCACAATTCTTACCATCTAACATACCATCTACTCCACAAACAGAAGAGAGATGGGTAATTAACCAGTCCTTGTATTTCGAATCATTTAAGTTTTCTTCAAGTTCTCTTAGCTCTTGAGAACTGTCTATCACTTTAAAACTATACACTGAGATATTATTAGTGTCGAAGTTATTTTTTTGAATTTCCTTTATATTATAGTATTTAAATAAACTTTCAAAATTCATTTTCATTTCACTAATAGTGGTTGCTTGCGTATCGATCATCTTTTCTAGACTTTCAATTTTTGGCAACAATTTTTTCTTCAATCTGTTTGTTCTTGAATCTTTTTTTTTAATTTCCAAACATGAGGTATGCTTATTCCTATCAAGCGGAATGTGCGTTACAGGTACTTTTGTTGAACCAACAGTAAAAGACGCTAAAAATAAATTACTTAGTACTAAATTCATATTTATAAGTATAGATTATTTAACTTTTAATTACCTATTTCATTACGTCTTATAGGTAATATAAATTCGTCTGTTGCATTATTCACATTTAAAAAAGACTCTTCCACGCTTTTCACAGATGACAATTTTTCTAAATTTCTCTTCCCAATATATTTTTCATATGTTGAAGAGTTTATATTAATGTCAACATAATCAGATTCATTTAGAACCTCTGATTCGATATCTACACTATCTATTTCAATAGCAGGTTCTTGCTTGATATACTGACTCCCCAAGTATTCAATGAATTGTTTGTTTACTTTCTGCGCCTGAACTGCAAATGTGTGGGCATTTTTAAGTTTATCACGGCAGTCACTGCAAACATATTTTGGTAAGTGTTTATAACAGTCTGTTTTAATCTTTAAATAAGAATAGTTGAAATTTAAAGAATATTCATAAAGCATTAGTTCTTACATTTATTTGCGCTATTTCCAGTAGCATGTCTCCGAGAGATAGACTATTTTCTATTTCTTCTTCTAATGAATGAAGACTACTGATATTGGTACTTTGTTGGCATGTCCTGCACAAGGATGGATTAAAACTATGCGTATTGCTGACTATGTATGCCATATTTCTATATTGTTACAGTAATTGAAAAATTTAACAAATTCGCGGCTCATACGAATACTTCACAAATAATTATTAACCAGTGTTGTATAGTAAATATAATAATAAATAGCATTCCCCTATAATCAGTGTGGCCACATCCCTGAAAAATATAATGCTATATCGGCTTTAAAAAAATGCTAAAAAAATGCTAAAAAAAAAAATAAAACTTTATATTTTAAACACCAAATAAGAACATAATTAAGAATATTTTATTTATTTACAGTACATTACATTATCAAAAATTTAAAAAAAAGAATTTCTATGTTAATGCATCTTCCAAATTGATATCGTATAATACTTCCTCATCTTGAATGGAGTTTCGTAAACCATTATTTTCGTTACTGAATTTTTTCATAAGATCGAGAGGTATTTCGGAGTTTTCGCAACATTTATTTTGCAATTTTAAGCCGCAACATATGTTATGAATAGAAATCATTGTTTCGATAAGGATTCTGTTTCTAAGTTTAGTTTTTACTAAACTCATTGCACTAAACCAACGTTCAACCTCCGCATTACTAAAAGGTAACACTAAATTTTATGACAAACTTCGCCAATTTATTAAAGGGATTTTCATATATTGCATTCTTGTATTCAAGCACACAAATCCAAAAATCGATGGTTGAATTTATATTATTCCAAGTATGAAGTGTTAATTTTTGCCACTAAAGTCCCATATTGGTGATTTCCTCATCACTCATCCTTATCTTTTCTTCTTGAAAAGTGTCAAATATGTTACTTCTATTAATTTTTAAACTATTTTCGAAATAATGCCAAAAAAATTTTTACTGAATTGCTAAATAAAATGCTAAATGCTGAAATCAAATTTTGCAGCTATTCCACAAAAAAAAAGCTAAATCTAGCAGCAAAAGTGCTAAAACGGCAACTCTGCCTATAATAGATGTACAGATTCCCCTTTCTTGCAAAAGTTAATTTGAAATGGAAAAATAAATGAAAATATTTTTTTTAAATATTTTTAATAAGGATAGATATAAATGAAGCACAATATACAATATATTGATTTGAGATTATTAAGAAGTGTTATTAAATTTTAATAATAGAAAACAATTTCATTTAGAGTGTGAAATTTCCTAATGTTTTAATATAATACGAAGATATCTGGTTTAAGATATCCGGTATAAAATTAGTTTGGATATAATAAAAATAAACATGAAACATAAACCTTTCAAACAAATTGAGAACGTAACACGAATAAAGTGCCAAATCATGCTTTTTACACAGATTTTCATAGAACAGCTTTGTATAAAATCTGGTGAGAATACTAGTACCGCGTAAATAAACAATACAAAAATTTAAATTCAAACCAAAACAGGTAATTTACATATCACACAAATTTTACTTGAAATAAAATGTACAAGTATAGTCTGTGTAGCATTTTTAAATTTCGACAGGGAACATCCCTCTCTCAAAACGCTCTCTCAGATGACGCATTAAATTATTTTATTTTATTTGTTTATCCAAGGTTTTCTTTAACAAATAAATTTATATAAATTTATTATAATTATTCTTAAGCAAAGTACTCCATACTTAACTAATCAACAAAAACACAAATATTTAACGATATGCCAACTTTAATCAAATTTCTTATGAACGAAATAGGAAACGTTTTCCTCAACCAAATTAAAAAACTGAAAATATTTGAAATTGAATTTTGCATTTCAATTTCAGTAAACTCAGCCTACTGGAACCGTCACAATTCAATAGAAAATAATGTCTCCATAATGTACGTTGTACATTATCATATTCAAGAATCAATTTTGAATATGTTGTGTATCATATTCAAGAACCAAAGGACTTATCTTTTATTAGTAGAAGACGAGCAGTTACAAACTGGAGTAATAGCACAAATAGTTTTACTTCAATATTTAAATTAGTAGATATATGCACATAAATACATACAAAATTCAAAACCTACTTACTAAATAAATTATTGATATAAATTTATTTAAATGTTTTTTTTTTTTAATGCCAACCTTTTCAATTGGATCTTCTTTGATTAGAAATATATATTAAATAGAAAAATATGAAATCTGGATTACAGCTCATCTCAATCATAGCTCATATTCACATATTCATTCACTTTATCCATAAAATCATGTAGGGTATAATTTATATATGTGTTCCATATACAATTGCAATAGTCCTGCTTTGTTCACATTTAATTTTGTAGTTAAATAGAACCGTACAGCCACTGTTGCGTCGGATTGGTAATAAGTAAAAATTGTGTATTTACAATTTTTGTTTTCTTAGCACACTTATTATGTGTATAGAAAACAACTCTGTTTTAACCTAGTAAAAAGAAACAACATTACTTACTTTTAAAATCAATTTTTTTAAAAGTTTTCCATTGTATAAAGAATCTTTAAAAAATATATCTGAAAATTTGTTCAGTATTATCAAAATTATTGCGCAGAGCATACATTAATAGAAAATGGAAAACGAAAATGACGTAGAGGTTAAGGCTGAGCCTGATATGACTTTTACTAAGGAGTTGCGTAAAGCTACTAAGGATGTGCATAAAATGAGCGATATTCTTGTAAATGCAAAATTTGCATTAGGTATAAAAAAATTTGCCATATTTAATCATCTAAATTTAATATAAAATTATTTAAGTCTACGACGCAGTATAAAGTACATGTATGTAAATGCATATGCAGTATACATTACATACATACGCATTTAGACTTTACACCACAATTGTGTGCATTGCTTCTGTGAAAATTCTATTTGTTTATTGTTTTGAACAATAAGTGGCACATAGGTTTACATACACATCTGGAATGCTTTTATAATAGTTATTGTTAATAGAGTTAAATAATTTATAATTAAATGTTGTATATTGTCTTATTAACCAAAAAATTAATAGATAGTTGTATAGTATAAATGATTGAATATTAATATTCAATAAAACGTTAAAATTAATATTAAATTTAAACAAAATATTCAATATAAGTTTTACATTTATATAATAATTATTTATATATAATTTTAGCTCTTTCCAATGAAACTGTTTGGGCAGATGGTCTACTTGCTTTTTACGAGATATACAAATTTTTTGAAACCCACTTACCAGAAACACTATTACCCAAAGAGCTGTATCGCACTGCAGCATTTGAAAAGGATCTTAACATATTCCTAGGTAGCAACTGGCAAGAAAATTATGAACCAAGAGAAAGTGTTAAGAAATATCTAAAGAAATTAGAAGAAGTACGCAGCAAAAATGAATTACTGTTATTTGCGTATGCCTTCCAAATGTATATGGCTTTAATGTCTGGTGGTCAATTGTTACAAAAAAAACGAATGATTGCTCGTAAATTGTGGATTGGAAAGCAAGAAGAACCTGAAGATAATAAGGCAATGACTTTTGATCCGGAACTGCATGAAGTTGATTTAGAAAAACGTCCTATGCCAGCTCAGGTTACTATTTGTCCACCTGGCTGTGCTGCTACATTTTTTCCAGACAAAATTTCAGTTCTTAAAGCTAAATTACGTACAATCTTAAATGAAAACTATGGAAAATTTGATGATGATATGCGTGCTGCTTTTATTGAAGAAAGCCGCAACGTCTTTCTATACAATGGAGATGTAGTGCGCTCAATAAAAGGAGTTGCAAAGGCTAACTTACGTGCATTAGGTATGGTTGTATGTTTTATTGTTGGCGTTTACCTTGCATTAAAATTTGCAAGACGTTAATAAGCACAAAACTGTAAATTCATAAAAAAGACTAAATTTTATTTTCGACTAAAGTAGTTTTAATTTAGTTTAATAAAAATATATAGCTAATATTAACTAACAATTGTTTCTTTTGGAAAGTATACAACGCTCTTTGTGTTAGTTTGTAAGGAAACACTTTGAAAGAACTTATCTATATAAAAAAGAAAATTATATAGTATATTATAAATATATGGATTTAATATAATAATATATTAAGATATATGTAAAATATTATAGCTGTAGGAGCATTAATGTGGTATATTACTACTGTTAAAATACATTTATTTGTATTATATTGGCTCTGATATTAAAAACTGTTATGCAGTATAACTGCCTCGTGTATAGTTGAGATAGTAGATAGGAGAAGAGACTCCAAGTAATATGACGCAATTTGCTACAAATAGTTATAGGAAGTTTATGCATCGTGTTATTTTTATATTAATATCCATTTTATCTTGATAATGACGCCAGAAAGTATAACGATATCTTTTTAATTCTAGCTTTGAACTTTATGCAATGTACATGAATAAACAAGCATTCATATAATCTGTGGTTTTAAAAACAGTGCGACTAGGAGAGTGAAGGTGTACTTAGTAGTGCTTACAACTTATTACCAGTTGTCAGTGCCATGCTTGAAGAATTTCAAACCTAATTCTCACTAAACTTCCGTCCAGTTGATTTACATTGTTATATTGTAACTGACGGCCTAATGATCGATTGTTTAAGCCTCCGCTACATTAATTATTTGTATAGGTATATGCATAATACTGTCATATCTGTCTATAGCCGCATAGTGTTGATGGCTATCTTATATGTATAACCTAAATTCTTAACATTAAATTGAAAAGGCAACTACGTAGAGAAGTTAGGTTTTTTATTATTTACTTCTACTTAGTTTTATTTAGTTACTTGTGGTAACAATATTTCATATGGACTAACTAGATTTAGAAACTAAACTCAATTTTTTCGATTTATATTATTATATCGCATCCACAAACTCTGACTAAGCATAATTAAAAAAAATATTTGGTTCCTTTGTTTGAATTTTCAAGATTTTTTTTCTTCATGCCTTTATATAGATTAATATTCATATACATTGAAAATATACGAAAAATAAATCTAAATGGATATATATATATATAGTATACAAATGTTATATATTATATATTAATTTAAAATAAAAACAATATATGTAGGTGTATAAATAAACTAAAAAAATAGATTAAATACTTATCTAAATTATTATTAATATTATTATTTTACATTACATTATTATATTAGATTAAATATTATTACATATTATTATATTACATATTATTATATTACATATTATTATATTATATTACATTATATCATATTACATTATAATATATTATTAATTTTAAAGAAGGACATTTCTATCATTTTCATAAAACATTTATTCATCAATTATAAACCAATAACTAACACAAATTTTATTTAAAACTTGATCTTTAGTAGAAAAACAAAATTTTTCGTAAAAATATATATACACATTAGAGAACTGCAATGAGTACTTAACACTAGAATCATTGACTGTGTTTCATTTATATGCATTCTGATTCTCTTTTTTATATATTCAACTTCACGTTTATGTATATTTATACATACAGCGGACAGAAGTTCTAATGAGTTATGTTCTGCTCATATGGTACTCATAAACACCGACATTCGACACAAATGATTTATGAATCATTCATGAGTATTACATCACAGTCGGTTGTTATAAGTTATTTGATTGTTATAAGTCTACTCTGAGTATTAAAATTGTGACTCGTTACAGTTCTCTGATATACACACCTTAAAACTGCTCTAAGAGTGTCTTTCGTTTTGGTTCAATATCTTCATGATGACCGCGCATTTGGCGATGATTTTTCAGTGCTGTGCCCTGTATGAAACGTTCACCGCATATACCGCAAACATATGGACGTTCCCCAGTATGACGTCGTATGTGGAGTGTCAGATCGTTGGACTGTGTAAAACTCTTTTCGCAATAGGTGCATTTGTAGGGTCGTTCACCTGAATGTATTCGCATATGTGTATGCAATTTATATGAACGAGAAAATGCTTTGTCACAAACTGTACAGATATGAGGCTTTTCACCAGTATGTGTACGACGATGACATTGCAAATCTGATGAACGTGGAAACGCCATATCACAAAAGTCACATTTATATGGTTTTTCACCTGTATGACGACGCATGTGTATAATTAGATTAGATGATGAAGAAACGGCACGACCACAAAATACGCAGAGATATTTTTTTTCCATTATTGGTTTTTTGACTTTTTCACCAGTAACGGGATCTATTTGTGAATCGTCTGATTTTTCTTTATTTGAAATACTTCCTTCTACGTGTACCTTTTTAATATGTGCAGTGAGACGGTCTTTGCGATTATACTTGCGATTACATTTATCACATTGAAATACTTTCTCAACATTGTTTGCTACCACTTGAGTCGTATTATTTTCTACTTTAATTTTTGGTTCAAATTCAACTGGATGATGTAGGCTCATATGTATATCGAGATTAATTTGCCACATAAATTTGTAGGTGCATTTCGAACACTGATATTTTTTCTCTATATTACAGCATTGATTTCTTAAGTGTGATGCGAGTATATCCTAAATTAATCAAATATTTATATTTAAATAAAAAATTGTGATTTAAAACATTAATAAATATTGCACTAACCTTAGAAACAGTTTTGAATATACACTTTTCACACTTTAATGGCAGTTGCTCATGCTTATGTACAGAACGTTGGTGCTGTGCTATCTCAAATTTCCGTTTGCAACTCAAATTGCACAATTCACATGTATACTGTAGTGGTATACCTTCGGCTTTGGGCAGTACTTTTCCGGTGGAAGTAGTTTCGTCATCTGTTTCCGAATCATCGATTTGTAATTCGAATCCTTGTTTATTTATTATGGAATAGTTAAGTTCTGAGTTGATGTTATGATGTGGAGGCATGAGAGTATTTGGTTCTGCACAACATTGCAGCAAATGATTCCGCAAGTCAACAATATTTTTAAATTGCAAATTACATACTTTGCAGAATATTGATTTGGGACCATTCGGTAGAGTTGTTGCGCTTATCATGCATTCGGCTGTGCTTAGATCGCTTGCTGTGATTCCGTGTCGTTTTATGTGCATGTGTAGATTTTCTTTGCGATAAAATTTCCGTGGACAGAAAAGACATTTAATAATTAATGCATCTCGCTTGTGTACGGACATATGACGTGTCAAATCCTTTTGCATTTGAAAACTGCGTTTGCACTCCAAACAATCAAATGTACGTTGTGTATCTGACTGAAATATTATAAGAAGACGAAAAGAACAATTATTTATAGAGGAAAATATTCAAATGTAACATATCATATAACACAATAATATCAAATTAACAAAGGATTTGTTTAAAGCAGTGTTTCTCAACCCAAAATATACAGCTGCATGATTTGCAAAAACTAGTCCAATATCAAAAAAATATATGATTAAATGCGAAAATGCGTTATTTTACAACAAGTGATGCTAATGGCGCGGACCGGTGGTTGATTCTGTGTATAAATAAAAGTACTTACCTTATTTGAATCGTCGTATTCTGAATGTATAGTGCGCAAATGTGATTTCAAATTCTCCTTCCACATGAAACGTCGAGGACATTTTCGACATAGAAAACGTTTACTAATATTTTTACATTGATCATCATAGTGTTGTTGAAGGATAGTAGCGGAAAGAAATCTAGCATTACAATTAATACACACATGCTGTGCTTCATTCCATTCATGTTTCAACAATTGGTGCTCGAATAATTTATATTTACGTTGAAACGATACGCCGCATAATTCGCAACCATACTTTTTGGGAAGGCGATTTCCCAAAAAATTACCAACTGCATTACCCATTTCAGAGTCACTTGCTTCACTCTCAGTTTCTGAGCATTTCAAATCCAACTCATAACCAACTTCATTGGTAATGGAATAAAAATGCTCAAAATTTTGTCTTGCAACATCTGCCATTATACGTGCTATCAGCACTTGTTCTTCCATTGGTTCTTCTTCGGGATATAACAGGCTTGATATTTCTGTCATGGGTAATTGATGTTGTGCAAATGATACTACATATTGATGAGTACGTAAATGAGTGCTTAAATCAGATATTTTTGTATGTTTAGACAGACATATCTTGCATTGTATAATTTTGCAACCATTTGGCTTGCACATATTTTCATCAATGCCTGTGAAAAGATAAAGCGATCGTTATATTATATACAGTACAATAAAAACATTGAAATTAATTACCTTTGACTTTAGTTAATTTTTGTCGATTTACATCCTTTTTGGGCAAAACAGAAGCCACGGCTTTACTGCCATGCACTTTTAAATGAGAATGCATATTATCCTTCCTATTAAATTTACGATCACAATAAGGACAATCGTATTTTTCATCGTCTGGCATATGCACACGTTTGTGTCGAGTTAAATCTTTAGGCCATACAAAAACTTTTTGGCATTGATCACATTGCAGTCTCTTTCCTTCATTCGTTTTAGTTTCTTCATCCTCCACTTTAACATGACGCGCTTGAAAATGTAATTTTAAATTAGCTTCCCAGATAAAACTTTCAGCACAATTTTCACACCGAAATTTTTTGTTAGTATTCATGCAATCTCTATTTTTGTGCTGATCTAAAATAGCAGAACATACAAACTGTCTACTACAATGAGTGCAGACATGTGGTAAGGTACTGCAGTCCCTATGTTGACTAATTTGATGGAGAAGTATATGTTTACGTCTATGGTATGTCTTCTGACATATATCACATTTGTATATAGTAGCAGACTGTTTTGCTTTTGTAATTAAATCCATATCATCATTATCTGTTTCCGAATCATACAAATCCATTTCGTTGTAGCTATCGTCTAACGCAATGTAATATTTCGTTAAATTATTGTCCTTAAAATCTGATGCAATATGATTCGCTACTTCAGTTTCTCGCCCATCACAACCATTTGGATAATAAACTTGAAAAAAGTGCCCTTCACTAATGTTAACACCTGTCAGACCATCTGCATGCTGCTTCAGATGTGCTCGTAGTTGTGACAAATTCTGAAATTCTTCCAGGCATAAACAACATTGCAACTTACCCAAAAACTGTTTATGCTCTTGTGCAATATGTTGATTTAACTCTTCGGAGTTAACGAAATGTTGTTCGCAAATACTACAGCTTATAGTTTCCATTTCTGTGTCATGGGTAATTAAGTGCAGTTTTAAGTCTTTAAGGTTTGTAAACTTCTCATCACAAATTTTACATATTAAGTCTTTGTCTTTGCTTATTTTATTTTCTGTGCTGTTAACTTTGGTGATACATTTGTGTCCTTTAAGATTATCCAACCACATAAATTTACCTGGACATTTCAGACACTGATATTTCTTTTCCTTGCAATGACATTGTTTATTCACGTGTAACTGGTACATTTGACTGCAAACAAATTCTGATTTGCAAACGCTACAACGATAAGGCAATTGATCAATGGTATGTTGCTCCTTTACATGTGCAAGCACTTGATATTTTCGTTTAAATTTTTCCTGACATAATTCACATTCATATACTTTCATTTTAGTTTCTGGTTCAGCTGTGTCCGAATCAGAATCACTAAGGCACATTTCATACCCAAACACATTTATAACTGCACAATATTTTGCAAATTGCTTCTGTGCTATTTCTTCACATATGACCGTATATATTTTATCGAGTTCTGTGATTTGGGAGAATAACTCTCTAATAATCTCACTACTAAGAGTCAATTGTTGCAATGACTCAGGATTGGAGTGCACCGCCATATGCATCCTTAATTCAGTAGTGTTTTCGAATTTATATTCGCATAATTTACATTGGATTGATTGGAATGGTTTATCGGTATATAAAAGGTCTGCAAAATTCCACTGTGGTTGTCGTCTTAATTGGTATCTGTGATTTGATTTTTGATGCGTTTTCAAATGATCATTAAGTTTATCTTTACGAAAGAATTTCCGTTCACAATATTGACATTGCAAGTCGGGTACAGCGAAATGACTTTTTTCATGACGTTGTAAATCCTTCTTCCAAGCAAATGTTTTTCCGCATACATTACAATAAAATCGACCGCCTTCTGAATGCAATTTCTTCATTGATGGACGCCCACGCCGTCGACGTGTTGTCAGTTTTTCAGATGCTGGACTGTAATTTTAAGACATATTATATTAATAATTTTCACATACAAGAACTTCATTTAATTTTACCTCTCTGAACTTTCAGTACCGTTTGTATAGTTCATATCACAATCGCTATTATCGCTGTCCCAGTGTGTTTCAGCTACAGTTATTGGATCCACTGTATCAAAAGCTATAAAAAATTAATTATAGCTAATTTAATTACATATTAAATTATTATATTAAATAAACTTACGTGTATTGAAAGTACTGGTTTCGTCTTGGACACCAAGAGACATAAAATCTGTTTTGATATCACAATCATTATTTATTGCAGTATTCACCGCTTTATTTAGGTTAGAGCTACTCTGTTTTATGTTAGTTTTCTCACAAGTTCCTATGTTGTTTAAATCTGCATTTAGTACACCAAACCTTTCAAAAACGTTTTCATCTGTGTCATTTTCCATTTTTATTTGAACAGATTCCATATCAATTGGCAATTCTTGTAAACAATCCACTAATTTGCATTGTTCATTAGATACATTATCATTAGTTATTTCATGTAGTGTAGCCAGGAAGTGTTTATTAACGCGCTGCGCCTGTTTCACAAAGGCGTATGCATTCTTCAGCTTATAAGTGCAGTTCCCACATATGTGTCGCGGAAGAGTTTTCTGTTCATTTTCGATCTTAGTCTTTTATTCAAATAGTTAATATTGTGTTACAACTTATTCAGATATCAAAATTAGAATTGTTTTGTCCATACTCACATTTATTCCTGTTATCTCTAAAAGCATACTTGCAAGGGTCGGGTAGGCTTCAGTTCTCTGCTCCAAGGAATGCAAAAAATTGATGTTTGTTTTTTCATTGCAAGTTCTACACCAGGTTTCATTAATATTTTCCAAATTTGTTTCCATTTTATTAATTAATTTACTTATTTAATTGTATATTTGCATTTCATAAAAGTTAAACAGAAATTCAGCGTCCAGTTGTTTTTAAGTGGATTTTAATGCAGGGTTGCATTTTGCCGTATCACATAACAAAAAATTATTGATATCAAATAAGTACTATTTTCTTTTTCCCGGTAAGTAGAAAGCGTCGAAAGCCATGGTGAGACGTAAATCCACTAAAACCACCTCATAGGAAAGCAAATTGGATAAATTTCAGCTACTGGACCGTAACATCGAAAGCTGAAACTTCACTCTAGTAATCTTGGAAAATGTAGATATTAAAAATAGGCTTAATATTTCTTAGACAACACATATATCAAAGCTTAAATTGGAACAAGTGAGAGACACAAGGGAAGACATATTTGCGAGGTAATTATGTCTAAAATTTTTGCAAGGAATTGTTTGTAACCACGATTATAAAGCAGAATTACAGGAGAAACTTGAAGTTAGAATTAAAGAGGGTTGCACTCATATTAATAAGCAGATCTATTTAATATTGAGCTGAGAGAAGAAAACCAATAAAAAGATTATCATGCCTGGTAAAGTATCTTCGCGCTATGAACCATAAAGTCATCTAAACGCACGAATTGAAAGACAGTAGATAGCGGTGTTGGGGAAAGTCTATCATCGGGTTTGCGAATGTCTGTCATCGGGTTTGGTTAAATGGAAAATGAGTACATAAAGAGTGACCATATTAGTTGATTGTAAAAAATGTAATAACTTATGGTAGTTGTGCGTTGATATGTAATAAATATTCCAAATTACCTTTGATACGATTGTAAATTTGAAAAACTGAAGATTTCAGGTTCCACTTTTAATCCAACATTGTAATATGTGTTCATAGATCACTTAATCCATTTTGTGGTCATCAAAATCGGCCTACTCAATAACCAAATTTGCCGTATATCGAGCGAGGATAATCCTCAAGCCATTAACGAATCATCATTAAAACCTAATGTTCATTCCACCATTGACGCATACGTTCATGCAAAAATTGGAATGATCGAATGGATCATGTAACTCGTAGCAGCGGCGGTCATATGCTAGATATCATATTCAAAAAATAAATGCCATGAAACTACTAGATTATAATAAAAAAAATTGATTCCAAGAATATTTTGTCTTGAATTAGCATTTTAAGTTCTCATGCAGCTAAAAAGCACCCTATATATCATGCATCTTAACGGGTAGTATAGAGTTTCCATGAATAAAATTAAAGCATTCTCGATGCAAAACAAATAGATTTCTATACACATTAGAATGAACAATATAGACCATTTAAAAAAAAATTAAAATTGAAATATAAGACTGAGCTATTTTTTTTTATACACAATATTTGAAGAGTTTATATAGAGAACACATATAGAAAATGGAAGAGGGAAAATGTCCCATACGTAAAGCGAATTGCAAGTAATCTGCACACTACTCATAAAAATTTACTATTTTTTGACCACTACATATATGTACATTCGATATTTTTTCTGTAGATCTCAGTAAAGGTATTATTGCTATTAATACAAAAACAATTTCCTTTAAATATATGGTACACAAAAATTATTGCAAATAAACTTTAATCTAAGTATATAAACTGTAATACTTTTAAATTTATTATTATTTTAATCGAGCAGACGAAAAAATTGATGCATCAACGATAATGCATTGATACTTCGATGCAACAACCATCGATGCAACTACCATACAAAGTTTTGTTTCTTTTTTGTTTACAATCTGTAAAAGAACATTCAGTGTTACATATGGATATAAAATAGAATAAAATGATATAAGAACATATGCGGACACTCAATAGTAAACTCTGCTAAAGATCAAATTCCAACTAAGAATATATAACTACTTTGTTATAAATGTTTAATATCAGTGAGCTTAGTAAATCGTGTTTTGGATTCTTTTTGACAAATCCGACGTAGATAATCTTCTTAGTCGTGTGAATGGTTGATATCTGATAACAGCTCGTGTACAAGTGAGTTAAGGTGATTTGATAGCCTTGTTCGGTAGTTTTTGGAAACTGTATTGTTTCTAATACTAATGGGACGTAAAGATCGCGCTGTAGAGTGCTGATCCATGGTATGTCCATGTAAACGAAGTATTTTTGATTTAAATCTCTAAAATCACTAAAATCGCTAATATCTAATATTTCACATCTGTTGCCCATATTGATATATCGTAAGTCCATATTCGTTTTAAAATAACTTTATATAGAAGTACTTTATTGTTCAATGATAGCTTTGAATTTTGATAAAGAAACCAGTACATGGAGCGCATTTTCAGTCCCAGTCGTTTACGTTTTATAAATATATGGTGTTTTCAGGTGAGACGCTGATCAAGATGAAGTCCCAGATACTTCGCGTAATCGGATTGTGGTAGTACGTTATTATTCACTGCAGTGATCCTTTTATGAAGTAAAATTTCGTGTGGGAAATCAATATAATTGTGTGGTGAAATCAATATAATTTTGTAGATAAATTTTTTTCGCTGCCAAAGCATCCAAAAGTATCCCTAAAGAATCGAAAATTTCAAATAAACATCATTTATATTTACGAAGAATATATGTATATAATTTATATATATATATATATATATTTTATGACTATATTTATTTAAAAATGATATTTAAATTAAGTTTTATAATAGCATAATTAAATAAATAAAAAAAATGAACTAAAAATTAAAATAAAAAAATAAACTACAAAGCATTCATATAAATGATATGTAATCCATATGGAAATGATATGTATCCAAATTTTGTCTAAACAAAAATAGGCAAAGTCTATAGTAAAAGTAAAAGAAGAAAAAAAATCAATAATAGAAAAATCAACGTAAAAAAACAAATTTTATAAAATTTTTCAAAATGAATAATAAATAATATTAATATGATAGAGAAATATGAACATGGAAGCAAAATAATTCTTGGATATACAAACCTTATGTTAAATTGCTTCTTTCTGAAGTTCTGTCCGTTTTTCCCGATACTTTTTTTTATACATTTTTAATTTGCAATTCCGAAAACCTTTCCTGAATGCGTTTTCGAAGTCTGTATAGCAATTTATGTGATTCTTAACTGCTTCTAAAAATTAAACATAATTTAAATTAGTAAGACATTATAATTGCTAAATTTAAATATAATAAAAAAGCGAATGCGTATTACCAAAAACGAAGGTATTGAAAAGCTTAATAGTTTTTATAGGAGTTTTGCCTTTTAACCCATCCCAGTTTATATCTTCTAAAAGCCTCTCAGAGAAGAACAATTTGACACACTTCGATAATTCGGTATGTCCAATTGTTTGTTTAATGTATGAAATCTGAAACAAAATACGTAAATAAAATATTTGTAAATTTGTTATTACGGCACACGTACAATATTTGTTTGTGAATCCTCTGCCAGCTCTTCATCAATATGCTGTAAAGTATACAAGTCCTGTATTGGGAAAATTCGGATGAATTTTTCATCGTCATTCATAATTTTGTTTGTAAGCTTTTGAAGCATTACGTTTTGTTTATTCACAACATTTGTCAAATTTTGCAAACTGATGTTTATTTCTTGCAACTGATTTTGTAACAGCTTATTTTTATTTTCTGAAAATATAATAATGTATATTATTAAGTAATTTACATATATTGCTTTTTTTGAATTATTACCAAGTTCAAAACATTTCTGCTTGTAGAAAGCTTCAGTAGCTTCATTTTCATTTGGAAGATCTTCCCAGGCTACTGAGGTAAAACCATTTCCAGGCGCCGATGATGTTGTTTCACTAAAGCAATTAAAATCAATAGTCTTATGTTAGATATGCTTGATACAATTTAATTCGTAAACTGATATAGAAGGGGTATCATTACAAGATCGCCTTTATATGATAAATCTATAAGTTTTGTTGAAATTTCATTTATATTAAATTTGAATTCATTGTCCTCTTCTTTTCCACATAAATACTTTTAGAGTGTTTTGCCGAATTCATTGGGAAGTATTTTGTTTTCCAAATTTTCAGCCAATTACAAACTTCTTATCATTTATCACTTTTAAAAATTTTAATATTCGTGTGGAAATACTAACTCCGATGTAACAATATGGATCACTTGTTCGATTACTACTTAAAAATAATAAATCATAATAATAAGTGATAACTGTGGCGGAACAGGAATTCTTAAACACCGTTTCTATTGATTTTACTTGATGGTGTGCTGCACCTTTCATCCACCACATTTCTTTCTATTGTTAGTTAGTTGTGGTGGAGGGAGGACGAATCCTCCCCAATTACCTAAAAGAAAAAGGAAAGCCGTTTTGAATCCACAAAAAAATCTCGTAATAGTAGGTAGTAGATACAGGGTCAAACTAGAACCACCCAGAGGCATCTTTCTATTGTTATATAATTAAATTTTTCTAATATTTGTGTGGGTTCTCAGATGGAAAGACGTCATACAGGCGGTAGAAAGTCGCTTCCAAGTATCCGTTTATATAAGCAGAGTAATTAGAAGCTATTTAACAAACCGACAATTAATCTACTCAACAAAAAATGGTTTAAAAACAGTACAAATAACGGCTGGAGCAGCGCAAGGATCAATCTTGGGACCTGAATTATGGAACATCACTTATGATGATATTTTGCAAATAGAAATGCCTCAAGATACCTTTCTAGTAGCTTATGCAGATGATGTGGCAGCAGTTATTACCGGCCGCGATACCCAATCAGTTCAAAGAAAACTCACACAAGTGATGCTGAGAGTGCAGGACTGGTTAAGCTCTCATGGCTTACAGCTGGCTACTCATAAAACGGAGATATTACTATTAACTCGAAAGCATATAAATACAGAAATAGAAATGCGAGTAAATAATGATGTGCTAAGGACCCAAAAAACGATTAATTACCTTGGAATAAGAATAGATGGGAATCTTACGTTTTGGGCGCAAATAAAGTATGCAGTAGAGAAAGCAGCGAAGACCACTGCTGCCTTAAGCAAACTAATGGTTAACACAGGAGGACCCGTCGCGGAAAAACGAAAATTGTTAATGACAACAGTAAACGCAGTTCTTCTATACGGTAGCGAAGTGTGTGCAGATGCACTAGGCATAGAAACGCGCAGAAAAGAAATAATAGCGGTGCATAGAAGGGCGGCTCTACGTATCACATCAGCGTATCGCACTGTCTCGGCTGAAGCGGTTTTTGTAATAGCAGGTGTAACTCCAATAGATCTTCAAGCAAAGGAGCGGCCAAGAGTATACAACAGGAAAACAAACGGTGATTATACTCAACAAATGGCAAGAGAAGATCAGGGCCAAACCATCGAAATGTGGCAACAAAGATGGAACAATAGCACGAAAGAAAGATGGACAGCTAGATTGATACCAAATATAACCACGTGGCTCAAACGGAACTCGGGAGACACAAATTACTATCTCACTCAGATGCTGACCGGACATGGATAGTTTGGTAAGTACCTGTACCGTATGGGAAAAATGGATTTACCCGACTGCATGGTGATAGGAACTGTGACGATGCAGAGCACACCTTCTTTTACTGTAACAGATGGCTCACAAATAGAGAAGAGATAATAGCGCAGATTGGACATATAAGTCCCGAAAACATAGTGGAAAAGATGAAAGCGAACTCAGAGAGTTGGCGAACGATAGAGTCATATGTGATTCAAGTTCTCAAAACGAAGAAATTAGATCTAGAAAGGAGAACTATAATAAATAGAGTGGACACCAAGAAAAGTGGTGGTCTGGACGCAGATAGAAAATCAAGAGAGCATGGCTTGAAATGTCAACATAAAAGAGACCCTCCTCGAAGTAATGCGAAAGCGGTTCCGAGGGGGAATAAGCCTCGCTGAAGAGGGGGTGTTTTAGTTCGTATACTACATATTAATGTTAGGGAGTCGGGCACACCATTCCGACGACGGTCGGTTTGACGGTGCATAAATCATTCCACCTCCTCACCACAAAAAAAAAAAAAAATATTTGTGTGGGTTCCGTACATCGTTTTCCAATATTTGCAAAAATGTTCAAACTTATACAAAGAGAAATGATCAAGAATTCGGAATTCTTTAACACATTTTCTCAAGTGAAGTAGACTGCACATTATAAGAAATTTTATTCTCACCATACAAATACTGAAAATTTGATACGAAACGCTCGAACATTTCATGAACATATTGTAAACGTGTTTTACAATTTTTCGTATTTGATATAAACCTGTACGCTGTATGAAGTAAAAGAAAGTGGTGTGGTATAATTCATTGTCCAAATTGACTTTAAATAGGACTTTCCCTGTATACAAAACTATTTGCATAAATTCTGTTGCTTTCCATCTACACAAAACATTCAAGTTTCTGGGTTTTCGACAAAAGTGTCGTCCATCCCAAATCCTACAGAGTATTTTTTTGTAACTCCTAAGTCAACACAATGCATAACGTTGATTAGAAACTGATTTATCAAATTTATACTAATGCTTTCAAGGATGTGCTGAGTTTCCAAAAAATTTTTTTTTGTATGAAATGATTTCTATGTTCTATTATTAAAATTATCATTTGTTTTTAAAGTACAAATTTTGAATTCATATGTTACACGATTTGACTTTCTTTTCGCAATTCGAGTACACTTTGAACATCCGCTGTTGCTTGTATGCCCAATAGTACCGGCTGGAAATGCCGGAAATAAATTCAATAGATTGTTTACTATTTGTTTTTGAAAACAACGAATTTAAACACAGCTTTTTCAACTGCAAATATTTTGCTTTGCATTTGTTTTCGTTGTCAATAAAATATTCTTCTCTGCAGAAATACATATTAACGCGATCGAATTTAAGAAATATTAGTGATTAAAAACAATTTCTATTTAGCATGAATATTTAACTATTATTATATGACTTAAAATAAAAATTATAAGCTATTTGTACCTATAAAACTTATTTAAATTCATTAAATTAAATTTAAATTTCCATCAAAATAAAAAATATTGAAATGAAATGTTGCATAAAGCAACGAATTTCGCACATTGATTTCTTAAATCTGATTAAAATGTCAATAAAACATCGATACCGTTGTGATTCTTATGGTACCTCGATACCACTATAAACTACTGAGAATGTATTAACAGATATCAAAATATATCACTAATTTCAATTTTCATTAGATCAACTTTAAATATTAAAAAGATATTAATTATAAATTATTATATTTATTATTATAAAAATATTAATGTTGCCATCAAATCCATTTCAGCATAACTCAGTACAAGATGTACGATGAAACATTTATTTTCTTAATGCCTTGAGTACATTTGTGTGTGGTTACGAAATTGAATTTACTTAAAAACTGTTCAATTCTAGTAACATATCTGTGTTCTTTCAGATTATCATCCAGTAGCAATTTTTGTTCACTTATTACTCGTACATATTATAGCACAAATGATCGAATTTACTTCATCCATATTTGGTGCTTGTAAGAATAACTTTACGAATCTCAATAGAAAAAGTCAAATATTGCTCTGGCATAGATATACAGAGTATATAGATAACTATGTATGTGTCCTTATTGCATTTCTGTTATTAAAGTTATTTCCGAATAATTTCCTTTGCTCCAATTAGCATACTTTTACGATATATAAATAGCTCAAAAACTGTAATAATTAATACGCATTATTTTTTTGGTGAGTCCTGATATGATTGTTAAGTTTATCTTTACGAAAGAATTTTCGATCGCAATATTCGCACTCTAAGTCAGGTAAACCAAAGTGACTTTTTTGATGACGTTGTAAATCCTTTTTCCAAGCAAAGGTTTTTTCGCAAACATTACAATAAAATCGTCCATCACATGATTGGGGTTTTTCAATTGGCGGACGCCCACGATGACGAAGTTTTATTTGTTTTTTAAAAGCTGGACTGTTTTTTTAATTCAATTTAATTGTTTTTTACATATAACCATAAATACCTTTACCTCTTTAAGCATTCTTTATCGTTCATAGATTTAAATTCAGCATCAGTTTTATCGATATTCCAGTGCGTTTCAGCCACAGATATTGGGTCCAATATTTCAGAAGCTATAGAAAACTAAGGAATTAAATAACTTTAACTTACAAATATTTTTAAACTTACCTGTATTTAAATTGCTTGTTTCATCCTGTACCTCAAAAGACAATAATTCAGTTTTTATTTTACAATTGAAATTTGAGGCAGAATCCACAGTTCCTTTTAGGTTTAAGTTGCTTTTCTCAAGATCACTTTTATAACAACTTTCTAAGTCATTTACATTTGCATTCACTACATCATGTATTTCGGAAGCATCATCGCCTATAAAAGTTTCTATTTTAATTTTTACACTTTCCTCATCAATCTGTAGCTCCTCTAGTTTGAATTCTTCATTGGATGAATTATGCAGGTTAGCAAGAAACTGTTTGTTAACGCGCTTTGCCTGTATCATAAAACCATATGCAACATTCAGTTTGTAGGTGCAGTTTCCGCATATGTATTTAGGTAGAAACTTCGGACTACTATCTATATTTGTCTTTTTTTACATAAGTAAATAATACGTTATAGTTGAATCAAGAATCATAACTAAAATTATTTAATTATACTCACATTTATTCCTGTTATCTCCAATAACATATTCGCAAGACTTGGGCAGCTTCCTGCTCTTTCCTCCAAGGAATGTAAAAAAATTATATTTGTTTTTTCGTTACAAGTTCTGCACCAAGTTTCATTAAATTTAGCATTTTCCGATGTTATTTCCATTTTGTTGAAGTATTTGTTTTATTTAAGTTTCCCTAATCATATAAACAATAAACAGAATATTTAGATTATGTTTCTGTTTTATCCAAACAAATCAAATTTACTGCAGGGTTGCATTTTATTGTATTGACATAAAAAAATTGTAAATATGTGAAATATATATAATGTCTGCCTTGAATTTTTTAAGTAAAATTTAATAAAAATATGATATTATAGAAACTTTTTTTTGAAAAATGTGGCTTAAGGAACTTGTCGAAAAAAGCAACATGCAGAGGGAAACAAGTCCACTGTACGTCAATGCAATCGAGCGTGTGAAAAGAGAATGCTTTGAGACTGCATTAACTTCAAGAGTAAACTCTATGGTAGCATCTTCGTAATTTCGTATCTGCAAGTCTTCTAACAGTTAGCGATTAGATTATTTCTTGTTATCCCTAGCGGGAAGTTACTTTATCAGGTATCGTAATCTTCTCCTGATTTTTTTCATCCAGCACAACCTACTTAATACTAATAAGTCTTGTGTTTTCTAATGCCTGCCTTTCGCTTGATTATTAGAATGGGTTTCAGCTTCTAACCTTTACGGTCCAATAGTTAGAATTTGTGCTCCTAAGAGTTGATTTTAGTGCGTTCAAGTCTCACACTTTGGTTTTCGATGATTTATACTTGCCGGAAAAAAGTACGTCCAAACAGATGTAGTACGGTACGCTACAATGTCATACATTGTGCGATTAACAAGAGATTAAAAGAGTCATTCTAATTGTAGCTCTAATTTATTATTACTTATTACGAAAATACAATCTCGTTTGGAATAGTCGAATTATTTCTATAATACCCTGCAAAAATCTTAATACCGTAGATTTATTTCACGATATTAAAAAATCACAAAAGTAATGTCAAAAATGAATAAATAGTAAACATTTATCAACAAAAAAGTAAAGTAAACAAATATTTGAATTTGTATAATATTATTTTTGATCATTTCATTTACAATAACTAAAAATAAAAATATTTGGATTAATGTATTTTATTTATTACATATTATATTTACAGAAATTCAACATAAAATGCCAGGAAGTGAAAAATGTATTAAATTACAACCGCTAAAACGAGGAGAAAGGATTTCTATTGAATCAACTAATAAATAAATTTGTTACTAATTCGATATTTTTAACAATAACATCAATCACTAACTACACAACAAGAATTTCTTAATGTAGGAAGAAAAAGATTATTTTCTTAAATTAGGGGGTAGAGTATGCCATCAGATAGTTCTGTAGGTAAAGTATATACCTTCATGTTTTTTCCGGCGAATAACCTTCACCGTATCCGGGTATTATGATTAGGCAATACACTGAGGGCATGTGTCGACAAACATGTAAATGGTTATAGAGCCATGACAGTGACAAAGTTTTGGTTTGGTTGAGAAGCTGGGCACAATAAATAGATGCAGACAAACGTTGAAATATCCTATAATATAATCTCATTTATTCATATTGTTGTATTATGAATTTAAATAATTTTAGAATTACTGTAAGTGGAAAATTTAAAAATATTTCAGAATATAAAAATATTTCAGGTAAATGAAATTAACCAAATAAGCAATAGTTTTTCTTATTTGTTTCGTTTTAAAGTCATTGTCAGTAACTGCAATGCCACTTTTTATTGATTAAGTTGTTAATGTAATGAGTATCGCTCCTTAGATACTCCGGAGCTTAAATGTAACTTTATGCTATGTAATCGTATAGTAAAATTATCAAAAACTAGTAAAAATTTCGGCAAATTATTATTAGTTTTTGTTTACTGAAGCAGACCCTTTCAGTAGAGGTAATTGAAGCAAGTGCACTTACATGCACTATAATACATTAACTGTAATTGTAGGTCCTCTATTCATAACTGTCGGTTTATGCAGCATATCACATCATTGGCACAATCGTTTGCGAGTATTTCTCGAAATACGTAAAGATATTAGAAAGCAACAATTGATACAATTCAAAAGTTTTTATCAATCATTAGGCAATAAAAAATTTTTTTTCGTATTTTGCACAAAAATAGATTATTTGTAATTATATTTATAACTGCACTCTTATTATACAGTCGTTAGCGATTTAACATATTTATAACTGTCATATGTAATGGTACGAAAAATGCCTCACTTCTAAAAATTAAAATAATGAACATAAATTGAAAATTTTTTGTTTTTTTATTATAATTATATTTGAATGACTAGGATTTTTTTTATTAATTAGGAAGTTTTTAATTTGAAATCTGATCCACTTCGTTTTTCCTGCCTAAAACACTTAAACTAAATGTATATATTTAGTGCACTCATACAATTATGTATTTTTCTTGTTTAAATTAAATTTATGAAAACAGTATTACTGATAATACTTCACATTTACTGCATATTTTTATTACATATATATTAATATAAAAATTTTAAATGAATGGTTTAATTATTATTATCCATGAAATGTAAAGTAGCCATTTAAAGTTCATCTTTGCCTTCAATTTTCATTAGTTCTACTTCAAAAATTAAAACAGCGTTTGGTGGTATACGGTCACCAGAACCACTTTTACCATAACCCAATTCGGGTGGTATAACCAATCGGCGTTTTTCTCCTACACACATACCAAGTATACCTTGATCCCATCCTCTTATGACCTGATGTGTACCCAATGTAAAAATAAATGGTGTGCGATTAAGACTAGAATCGAATTCTTTCCCATCCTCTAAAGTACCCTTCAATAAAAGATTTTATATAAAACATTATGAGAAATTTATATGCTAATTTCTTACTCGATAGTGCACATGCACCGTATCTCGGTTTTTCGCTTTTACAGTACAATTTTCAATTCGCTTCTTAATGCCTATTTTCACTCTGAATTTGTTATCATTATTTGCACATGCAAATGCAATATATATAAATAGTAATATTACTAAATTTGCTAACTTCATATCGTCCTTATTGTTTATATTAATCTCAACGCCAAATATTTACCTATGGTTTAAGGTGCGGTTACAATGGAACTTTAAGCAAGAGCGTATTATTCGGAAGCGTGAGTATATCGTAAACAAAACTAAAATAATATTGTATGAAATACAAAACGTCAATTAAAGTTCTTGACTTTTACTTTTATCTTCAAAACCCCTCTTTACGCCTTGACTGGATTATTGTATATCATTTCATCAGACTGACCTTAATTTACATATATTTAAAATGATATACATTTTTATTACTAATAAATATAAATATATATTTATAAATCAAAATATAACAAAATAAATCTTTTATCGTATATTATTGTGCGATAGAGGAAGGTTATAAGATCTATTTCATTATCTCATATAATTGTTTCGAAGTTTTTTTTGAAAAATAAATTATTGTGAATTGAAAGACAAAATTAAATTTAATATTTAATTTATTTAAATTTATATTTTTTTTTAAAGCCAAATTTTACTGTTGAAATTTTGTATTATTAAAATAAAAATGTTACTAAAACATTCATTAAGTGTTCTTGAAGAAGTGTGATTATGCAAAATGGAAAATAAAATTTAAGAGAATTCGATTAACAGTAAACAGAACTTACAAAAGCCCAGATAAATTTTGCGTATAGAGATATTAGTATTATAGTAAATTAAGATAATTATGCTTAAATAAAGCATAATTGTGTGAAATGTAATAAATTTTAAGAGAATTCGTCCAAATAAATCTAATAAAACCTCAAATCCACGTTGCTGTCACTAGTCTTATAATAAATTTTCAGACAAGTCAGTCCATCTCAGTGGCGTAACTACAGGGAAGCAACTGGAAGCAACGCTTTCGGGCCCCCGAATTTAGGGGGCCCCACTGTAAATGTTTGTAAACGTTTTTTGTTGTTATAACTTCATATTGCATTTTATAAAAGATACCCCTTAGTATGTTGATAGGGGCCCTTTAGTTAGAATTTGCTTACAGGCCTAAAAAATGTAGTTACGCCACTGGTCCATCTAAAGGATATCAGTCAACAAGTCTTCCCTTGTTGGTTTCATTAAAGGCTTAGATTTGTCTTAAACTCTCTGAGTTTTATAAGACAAATAAAATAGATAACAGGCCTGTTTGTTGGCAACAATAATTCTGTATTCTCGAAATTTCCTTAGTATAGTTACCTAGACTTTTGACATATAATTGCTTTTCGTTATAAAAAAAATAAAACTAAGACGGATTCGAATAGCAAAGAAAGAAAGGACAAAGACAAAAATTTTATTTAATTTATTGAAGTTTGGCTGACCATACAACGCTGTTTCGAGTATTGCCAAGTACTTCTCATCAGTGGTCTTAGGAAATAATCGAATTTTTATTTAATTAGTTTATAGTTCGTATATAATTTGTTTGGACTGCAAGTGCCAAGCTTAAAACTCGTGCCTGTCAAATTTGAAGCGATGACTAATCGTGTTTATCCACAAGTAGCCAAGTAGTATTTTGAAAATATGAATATCAGAACTCGAATATCAGAACTCACAGAGATTCGAACTGCTTGAATAATATTTGATATCGAATTGTTACCCTTCAATGTTTTTCTCTATATATTTTAAGTTACTCTTACCAATTCTCTTAACGGTACAAAGAGAATCCATGCACATGTTTACAAAAATCATTACAACCAAAAGCAATTGCAGTTCGGTGTGATTATAGGTCAAAAGACATTGTTGTGCCTTGTTTTAAGATGATCTAGAAAACAACTGTTGATGTTGTGATAGCAATTTTAGTGACATTGTTTACCAAATATATTAAAAACCTTATTTATGCAGCAATACATATTGAAGTTCCAGCTTTAAATACCACGTTTTATAAGAAATTAAGTTGTTTAAAATTAAAACTCTATAAAAAAATTACAAAATCCGTATATATATTTATAATTCGCTTAGTTCTTATATTTATAATATATTTTTGAAATCAGCTTTTGGTGTATGAAGGAAGAGTACTTAAGACGATATATGACTCAATGCTTCTAATTGGTGGATCTTACTGAATTTAGTACAACCATTAACTAGACTATATAATATAGGGGCGGAATGTTATAAAATACAATAAACTTCAGTGTTTGAAACAGTTAGGATATGTGCTAAGAAAACATCTCCAGTAATTGGCAAAATAAGCATTTGAGAAAAATATGGAACGACTATGAGATACGTGAAACTTATGCTAATACTTCTGAAAATATTGAACGCATTGATTATGAAAGAACTGGTATATTAAGGATTATAATGCTACAAAATAATGAGAAAGAAGCTTTTAATATACATACATAAAAAGCAATTGGCTTAAATCACTTTTACAAAATCAAGCTTTAAACACATTTCGAATTCATCGTATCCCCAGGATCTTTCAGTTTCACAATTACACTTATTTCTGTATTTTATATATTTTTTCTTATAGAATCTAGTTCATTGATTTTTTCAAAAGTATAAAAATTATTTCAAAAAGAAAACAGTTTTAATTTCTATACAATTAAAGCACTTTTTATTTTTATATACAATTAAGATAAACTATAACATAAAGAATATGCATGTATCCTTTTTATGGAAACATAATATTATTATTAAACAAAATACAATATTTATATCACAATATAGAGGCATACATATCAATGAAATATATATATATATATACAAAGAAAAATTACAATAAATATTCAATAAAATTATAAATAAATAACAAATAAAGCAAAATTAGCAATATTTTGCGTATTTCTATATGTATCTTGAGAATTTATAATATATTTTAAAGCTATGAACAGGTTAACCTAAGAAATATGAGAATTATTTGTGTTGTGCTAAGCTTAAAGAGGATCTTGGTAGCATTTTTAATATATGTCGCCTAGTTCCTTTTGCACCGGAACATTTACGTAGTTTCTATAAAGTAGAAAACTGAAACAAATATGTTTTAAATGCATAAAGAGAAATAGGACATATCACTTCCCACTTAGCTCTTCAGCTTGCTACCAGATAAGCTATTGAGACGGCATAATATTGGGTTAATCTGGGAACAGCTATGACCTGTTTCTGTTGCACATTATCTTAAAATATAAATCTATAATTTTATTCCAATTTTTATAATTACCTAATATGGTTTGTAAAGAATATGGAATTATTTTTTATATACTAGAATTAGAAAGTTATACAAATTAATGAAACTAGTACAATATATAAAAATACAGTATATATATAAATACTTCTAAGCTCACAATTATATTTCAGAAAATAGATTGTTTTATAAGTTTAAAGTTTAAATAAGAATAAGAGTTTTAAAAGAATTGCCTTTGCATGATAATAAATAATATTTTAGTATTTAGTTCATAAGGACCTTTTTGACTTAATCGAGTTGTTTTATTATAATAATTTTTAAAATAAGGCAATTTTAATTATCATTTGATAAATTTGTAATTTTAGTTGCATACATATTAGCAACTTTATATATAAATTCGTATTGTTCCTTAGTTTGTACAGCACTAGCACGTCCCCTTCTTATGTAATATACAATTTGGGGTATATCGACAATACGTTTTGGTGTTTCCAAACTGCGTATAGCAACATCACAAGAAATAATCGTGCCCGTTCGTCCAGTACCTGGAGAGCAGTGAACAGTTAGGGGACTAAAAATAGAGAAAACATGAAGAAAGATAGCAAACAGACGAAAGTACAAGAAAAACACAAATAACACAAGGACAAAAATAAAGATTATAATTATAATTGAGGCTTACCCTTGGTGTTTATTTGTGGTCACTTTAAATTTATCGGTGGTAATATTTCCATTTATTTCACCATTACTGCTATTAGTACCAGTGCTACTGCCCGATATGTTGCTTACATCTTTTAGTTCATCGATACCGTTGCCCACTATACCATTCGCTTCACTTCGTAGTGTAGCTGTTGATGATTTTCCCTTGAGTTCATTTGCTTGTTCAATAGCATAACTTTTGAGAGATGAACGTGCTTCCAACAGCATCGCGATTATTGGTGCTTCTTCGTTGGGTACACCTGTCTCTGGCCATTTATACCAATAATGTGTTAGTTCTCGGCTTGCGTCTTTAATTGTATTCTTAAGTATTAGTGTTGATATGGCATATTTCTCTTTTACTTCACGATTTTTTAATGTTACTTGGAAATCTCCGAACGTAGTGTGATTATCAAGTGTCACCGAAGGTGGTAAATATTCTGCACATTTTTCACTGCCGTTCTCTATTAGATCAGTAGCCTGTATAATGACACGCGACTGTTGCTCCCAAATCATACGCCAAAAATCAGTAATGGTGGCTTCGAGTGGTGCTTGACATGCTATATAGTAATTTGGTGCATCTTTAGGGCCCTGTAAATTAAATAAGTATATTAATGATATTGACAGATATTGTTTCTTGTTTACAAAAGGTTAATTATATACACAATTAAACTTCACAAAGTTTAATCATCCCCTCACAAAGTACAAAAAATCCAAGTGAATCAGAGCACTGTAACCATGGTAAACATATAATTGATGATCTAATTCAATTGATCTAAATTCCGATCATTCCTGAACCAAATATTTACTCTACCGTAACTCTACCGTTAATACCGTAGAGTTTGCTATACCAAGAAGTGGAATTGATTTTGGCTGCATATAAATAAAAAGGTCTCTTAAACCGTGAATTGGCATGGATTTCAAGTACTGACATTTTTTTAAAACGGATTTAAAGAATATTTGCTATGTTTAGAACAAGAATCTTTAAACAATTTTAAAAATGGGTGCGATATCGCTATTTGCTGGGTCTTATGTCATACTTGAAAATTATTTAGACACTAACAATAAGTAATAAAAATTTAAGACGAAGGCGATTTTTATACATATAAAATACTTAGACTTCTTTATTCTGACAACAGTTTTTTTGCACGGCTATGTCACAAAAAATATTTACAAGCGGTATTAACAATTCAAAAAAGAAGCATGTCAAGAAATCCAAAGATTTGGTTCTTAAAATTCGTTGATTGACAATTAGTCAGTCCAAACTATTTTGCAAGATGTGCTTGACACGAGTAAAATCTCTTTTTAGAAAAACAATGTAGCGTTAAAATGTGCTAAAGAATACTTAGATCTATGCATACGACCTGAAAACAACCGACCAATTAAGACAAATTGCACTAAAGGCATTCAGAAATCAATACCATGTTAACAGTTTTTTTTAATTCTCAAGATGTAGTGCATTAGAAATCCCTTTAACTGAGTCAAACGTTTAGCAATAAATATTCTTCGAGTGTCATGAATTTGTGTCCAGAATTTAGTCTAAATTTTTTTGGTTTTTTCACCACTATATCACACCATCGCACACTGCATTGGTGCTTCGATAACATATAGTCATAACTTTATCCTATATTATTCCATAACTATTATAATCGCTTGATCCAATGGTGCTAGTAAAACTTTCGGCTCTTTCCTAAGCTCAAGAAACCACCCTGACGATACCGATTTGACATGATTGAGAAGTAAATACCAAATCGTTTGCGAATTTGTTTCTACGGTTGAAAAAAAGTTAGTAAAAGTATAATGTATTGGTTTGAAAGAAAATTAAATGGATTTAAAGAATAAATAAAGATTTTAAATTTATAAACAATTTGACCTTATTTTTTTTTATCATAATCTTATATAACAATAGTATGGTACATATTGACAATTACAAATGAACTCTAACAAGTAATTCTTATTTTATGGGTCTTTATATATTATTTAATTCGGTTAAAAAAAAATTTATATATTCTATGAATTCGTGATTTATGGATTATATGTTCTTGTAAAAAGGAGAGGTAAAAGTATATGATAAAAAGAAAAAAGAATCGTAGCAATAAGAATAAGATTAGTTTAGTTTCGACTTATGACAACATGATTTGATCTAAATTGATGTTCTTCAATAATCAAATTTTTGGATTAGTTTATAAGTATATGCTCTGCTCTCCAATGAGTAGTGTGAATGATGGTAAACTAATTTTAACTGTACGTCGTGTTCTACCTCTCTTCATATCTACTATTTTTATATTATAAACATTTAGGTAGTGTTAATTTTATACTACTACCACTTTTAATTCTTAAAGTTTATCTTGCAGTTTATAATAATTTGCACCCCTTTTTTCAGTTCGATGCTTTTGATAGTGTATTATACTAGATGGATCGATGATAAGCTGACTTCAAAATAGGTGGTAATGCCAAAATAAAATCAATTATACTTTGTATATTTGGAAACCTTTAAACGAGTTATCAGACTGTAACTATACCATAAGTTTTTGCTTCCTCACCCACCGTATTCTTCAGATTTGGCTATTACCTGTTTCCAATCTTTAAAAGATGGCTCCAGGGAAAGAAATTTGCATTAAATGAAGTGGATAACTCGTATTATTTAAAAAGTGCGTGCTATAAGGGGACTATATTGACGCATAAAAGAAAAATGTGTTTTTATTACTCAGGCCGGATATTTACCAATCCACATAGTGTATAGATCGTTGCGATACGCTATTTTGTGTGATCTTTTATTGTACTTGTACGTACAGGCTCTCCGAAGTCTCTTGAAAGTGTCTTGGTATATTCGCACAAATGCTAAGAGACCTTAGAAAAGACCCGGGCCAAAAAATACATTAGGCACAGAGCCCTGAAGCTATTTGTGAAAACAGACAGGCTGCCCAACTAAGCACTATCTAATCTCAGAGTAATCTTTACCCACACAGGGCGGTACGCAGATTTTAGATCAGTCATCTAATAAACACGAACCTATTAAGGAATATATAAATTAGTCAGTGAGGGGGGTGGGATTTTGCAGAAATCCCTAGCTGTCAAAGACTAAAAGTGCCCAGATGTACTAAATCGAAAAAAACTCAACATGAATGTACAGTTGGGGTTATCGTTATCCCGAGTATAAGTATGGAATAGGTATTAAAGAAATCATGTAATGAAATATTACATATGAATCTATAAATTATATTTTTTTTATGCTATTACTTAATAAACTATTGCAACAATAAAACTTTTTATTTTTGAATTATCAAAGTGGCGAAAATGTATTGAAATTTCTCTATTTTAAAAAATAATTTCTTGATTATTATATTTTTATTTTTTGATTTTATTAAGAAAACATTTAAAGAAAAATTGTTTTTATTGTTCTTAATTTAGTTTGACTTCATAAACAATCTACTACACATTAGTTAATATACATTTTTAAAATAAATAAATTTGCACTTATACTATATATTGCATTTATGAGATTAATTCAGCTCTGATTCTACTGATAAGGCTGGAAATAATTAAATAAAATACAATATATGTACGTATATACACAAGTTTGTTTAATATGAAATCATAATATGAAGATCGCGACAAACAAATTGAATAAACCAAAGACGGCCATGGTCGCTCCCGCCTTTATTATTTCTATTGTATATTGTACATACTCGTATATTACATATGCGTAAACATATGTATATATTTTCATATTGTAAGAGTAAATATTTAGTAGTAATAGAATAAGTCTACAAAATATAATAGTATTAAGTAATTGATATGATTAATTAGTTTATAATTAATTCATTAATGCTAGTTATCTTTATGAGTCTTCCAATTCATCTATATTATTTCTATATAATTATTGGTCAATATGTCTATTTTTAAATACTTGGATTTATTTATTTAAAAAACCCGAACTCCTACGATATATATACATATATATTTTTTAACCCGTTATGAAGAATTATAGGTTTTGTTGTTTTTTTATAGTAGCTAATACAATAACAAATAAAACTATGTATTAAAGTTTTTAAATGAAAAGTAAAATGTAGACAAAAAAACTTATTTATTTGATATGCTTATTTTGGTTGCTTTTGTTATGCACAACACTGTATATATATTCTCGGTTAGATAAAGCGAACTAAATCTATTGATCTATTATTTTCAACGAAAATCGGTTGCAGTGGCAGGTCAGCAAATATTCTTCCGCTGTCCATAGCGATATTTCGCCATTTTACTACCACTTTTCTCGCAAGAAATCTTAAGATATAAAAATGAGACGAAAACTAAATCCACCTCGTTGAATTTAGGTAATTTAACAAATCTTTCGTCATCACCAATCAACATTCAGTCTGACAAACTATCAAAAAAGTACTTTCCTAAAAACTTGTTTCTTCTGGAACAAAAAACTGAAAACCAAAGAACTTCTAAAGTGAATATTGTTTTCTACGTGGATTTCTATATACCTCAATGACCAAAGAGAATAGACATAATCCTTGCAGTCCCTTTTACACAGCTCTCAAGGTCTGGTCTTGTTATATGATGGCCATGTTATCAAAGAAGTTACACATAAATTAAGTATCGTTCATTTATTAATCCAAAATTAATCCCCTTGTCGTATAAATATTATTTATAGCTAAATTTTAAACTTATAAGCAGTTCTGACCATTCTTTATTATTTGTAAATGCAATAATGATTTTTATTTTTGCTTTTTAACATCTGTAGTGAGAATCATGTTATTTTCTTAATTCATCCAATGATATATTCATCAGCAAATGATAATAATGCTTCGAGATGCAAGTGTATTATTGATATTTCAAGCGATATATTGTTTAACGTATCGCTTGGTTGTGTTTTTATGGTTTTGGCACTGTTTTAGACAGCAATTATCGTATCGTATTACTTAAATATGTTTCGTTCTAACAGAATCTCTCAATGGCATATCACAAATTTTATTATATACATATACATATATTGTGAATTGGATTTTAATATAGTGGCAATAGTAACTTAATTGTTCGAATATGAAAAATCGTAAATATAGAGTTTCAGACAATTCTGAATGTAAGATATTTAAAATTCGCAAAAGCTGAAGTTAACTAACTATTCGCTATGGGTAATATATGAATGTAAGAATTTTTCCAAAATGATTCTAATCCAACAATTAGAACTGATTTCAACTTTAGTAATAGCTGCTAATAGAAAAAGAAAGTGATAGTGGGCGGTAAAAGAGAGAAGAAAAAGTGCTGTTAGAGAACACACAAACAGATTTGTGTGTTTAATTAATTTAATTTAATTTTATTTCACTTTATTCAAATTAAGTGAATAACGGGCCTCTAAATTATTGTTGAAATTGATTGTCTTCATAGATTTATTTTCGAAACTTGTATTCAGATTTATAAATAGTATGACCTACCATTTTTTATATGTTACAAACAGTCTATATAACATTAATTTAACAAAAGATAATTAACTATAAATTTTTCTTTAACTTCAAATTTTGAAAGGTACATGATCACTGAAATTACATCAAAATTGAGGGTAAACCCATGACGCAATTGAATATCTCTAAACAAACTTAAGTGAGTGTGACACTCTAGTGATTTTGTTGCCAGTATTAAAACTGCTGCTCTCATGTAGTGCCTGTGTGAAAACATATGTAAAAATATGAAATCTTATTTCTATCTTTGAATCCTCAGATTTATAACATAGATTAAAATATTTTTAGTTATTTGCTCATATTTAAATTTTATGAAGATGATTCAAATAATTATGATTTTTTAAACAAATTCATTTTTTTTTGTTCCGGCTGAAATAAATTTTTGCGCTGTGATTTCAGAGTTCAGAGAAGTCGGGGAAGGCTATTTAAAATAATTTTTAGTTTTATCATTTATAATTTTTTTGTTGAGGTAATCTTTCTAATCTACATTATCCTAAAGTTAATATTTGACTAGAATTTTACTACGGTTCTTTCCTTGAGAACAGAATGTACTACAGTTCATGAATGGTAGAAAGATTATTCTATAATAATATTATTCTAAGATAATTATAAATATGGTATTATTATTATATTTTAAAGAAACTCATTTTTTTTTCGTTGTAACTGAAATAAATTTTTGAGTTGTTGCAAGAGTTTAACTATATTTCTTTCCTTGACAACAGAAAGCACTACGGTATAACTGCTAAACGGTTCTGATATTGCAATCTTCATGAATGGTTCTAAAATGGATTGTATATATCGGTGCATACATACACTCTTACACTCGCAGAGACCAGACATCGAAAATGCTTTTAGAACTTGAAGGATACTAACTGCAAACAATACAATTAAAATCAACATCATTATTCTATCAGATAGCCAGGCTGCAATTAAAACTCTGAATTCTTTCATCATAACGTTCTTCCTAATGAAAAAAGCTAACTACTTTAAGTGAGCAGCACAATATTTTGTATATCGGGGTCCCGGCATATCAGAATATTAAGGAAATCAAAAAAAGGTCTCTTGTAAAAATTGTCTTTGTAGAACTAAAGTAGATGGGACAGTTATAAAATTAGTATTACGATTGGCCTCTATAAAATCTCAACCAAACATGCTAACAAGTAAGAATAAAAAATATATATTTGAAGTAAAGGTATTAGCTATGGCTTCCGGCTTATTAGAAAACAAAACACCGAAATTAAATCCCTCATAGTATTCATTATAATATCTATAATCAGCTAAAAGAAGTGGAAAATAAAATTAGTTTTTATTTTCTACATGCTCTACTCTAAGGTAGCCAAACAAATATACCCAAAGTGAACCGCACTTTAATTATCTCGACGAGTTAATAGAAGTTATCGGTACAGATTTGGATTGGATATAACCGAGTTGCTTGCATAGGCAATTAATAAAACACTTGGTGAAAACCATGTGTTTCTTAAACAATGTTAAACCACAAAAAGTAAGAGGTGTTTATTTTTTTGTTATAGTTTTAAAATTATTGTACTATAACAACATTTCGAGAGCACAAAATAAGTCATTAATCCATAACATAGTATAATGTGTTTGACAATATTTTGAATGTTTTTTTAAATATTATTAAAAACTAACTCTTTGTATCTATTTTCAAGACGGACTAATTTACTTCAAAAGTTTGGTTATTCTATAAATATAATTGCATTATTTATTGCCGCAGTTAAAAAAATTTAAATGTCAAAGCCATTATAGACAATGGCAAAATATTATAGACAAGATATCAATTTTTTGGAAATTTCAAAATGAGATAACAGAATTTATAAAATTCTAGTTTCAATATTTAATTATAAAAATAATTTTATTTCAATTTCTGAAGCAATGGTACGGAGTCTATTAGTATTACGTTAAGACAGATCAATTTTCCACCTATATACCATACTGAATATCCTACTAAGACGAAAGGTTGCACAAACCCAGATAAATTTTGAGCTATTCATTTTTTTGATTACCGCATTACTGAATAAAAATAAATGCTGAGAATCTATTTTATTCACAAGATACAGATGTGGAAGTTCAAATAAACTTTCAGTGAATAAAATAAGTTAAACCTATGTTATAGCATGACAAATACCCCAATCTGTAATGGAAAATAATAAGTAACACTGATCCTGTCGGCTTGATGTAGTAAAAACTAATTTGAGGAGATTTGGTGTCAATGAACGACGAACTGAGTGGACTGGAGAAGTATTGCAGGAATAAACCGATATTTTATAGAGCTATAACCCGAATAGAAGAATATGTTTATTGAGTGAATTGTTTAATACCAATGCCTTATTCCTTAAACTAAAGAAGATTAGTCTTTAGAAAAAAATCAAAACTATTGTTGATTCTTGTCTATGAAAAAGAAGATTAACATTGAATTATTATATTTGAATATATTGTAATAAAAAGTGTAGATTTGATTAGATTAGATTTTTAAAATGGGTTGAGAACTTGTCACCGCGTCACTGCATCCTTTGAGGATTATTGTGACATACCCACTTCACAGTTCCATAGACGAGTAGCAGTTAAGAATGCCAATATGTCCTTTGGAGAGATGTTGCCTAATTCCGTTATATCCGGATGGGCAGTGGGTAAGTACCGAAGTCTGAGTCTGGCAAGACTATCACAGTAACACAAAATGTGTTCTGCTGTTTCCTCTTCTTCGCAACAAAGTCTGCAGCTATCGTCTCTAGTAATACCTAGATTCGATAGATGCTTTTTAATTCCGCAGTGCCCAGTGAGGAATCCTGTGACAAGTCGGATACCACTTCTGTTCAGCATAAGTAACTACGTAGTTCTGGCTTTTGATCGAAACGGTATGGATTCTTTGACTTGTCTGCAGGCAATTGTATTATCCCAATTAGTCTGAGCTGCTATTTCCAGCGACCCATAAGGTTTAAGTTTGTAAAAGCTCCACGAAGGACCGCAGAATGGTTGTGGCCCAATATAATATGAGGCCGCCCCTTTTCTAGCTAGTTCATCCGCTTTTTCGTTTCCCTCAAATCCGCTGTGCCCTGGAATCCATATTAAGTGGACTTTGTTCCTTTCAGCAAGGTCTTTGAGAAGTAGAAGGCAATATAAAATGTAACATATACATAAAACTAACGGATAAGACGTTAGTGGTGAGACGAGAACATTATAAATGGTTTTCATTACCTTTGCAGAAAATATGAAGTATTTCTTAGTTTTTATTATAATGTCATATAAAATGAGATACTGGCGGTAATATGTTTATATTTTTTTTCATACTCATACTAGTTTCTTTATAAAGTGCCGTAATACTAACTTATAAAAAGCTTGTCTATCATTTCTTTACTAACTATCTGATTTTACTACAATTCTTTGTAAATCTTTTGAAGATGCAAACAATTCGTCCAAATCTTCTTCTCGTCCCTCTAAGTGGAGATGTCACCGAATATGACTACAGTTCACTGATTGCCCACTTTACCTATTAATCACATTACCTTATATGGGGAAAACATATTAAAATGATCATCTTATGTGTACCCTCCCACTATGGCTCTGTTTACTATTATTATTATTTTTATTCGGATTATTACATGCATGATACTTACCCTGACATAATTGGCATTAATATATTCCGTTTTCACATCATTGTGTTGTTGCTGGAGTATGACACGCGTCTCAGGAAGCGGAATCACATTTGCGTATCTATATAAGAAAATTTTTAAAAATACAGAAAGTTATGACTAATGCAAAGAAATACAAAAAAGGGGAAATTATTTAAAAAAAAAAAGTCATAGGTAGGCGTGCTAATACAATACAATATGTTTAAATGTAAAATGTGCTAAAGTGAATTATAACTTTATTTGTTTTGTTTTTCGGTGTTCAAATAATAACATAAGTCAGTGTTCTTAAATAATAAATTTTTATTTTTATCGCAAAATTTATTTTCTTTTTTATCGGTATTGACATTCAAATGTGATTTTTATAACTGAAAAAATTACATATACTTTAACCGTAGAAGGAATGTTTGGTCGTATGAGTGATTGAAAAAATATTTTCAAAATTCCAGTATGTGATTCAGTGGATTGTAATTTAATTTGGGAAGCAATAACATTAAGATTACATTTCGGGTTGGTTTTTATATATTATTATTATATATTCTTGAATTTATGATAATTTAAAATAGAAAATAAACACACATAAAGAAAGTATTGTCTTAAAATATTTGATAATTTGAATAATTTTTAAATTATTACTAATTTTAATCTATCTAATTAAACAAGTTAGCTTCGTGTTAGTTAAACAAATAAATAATTTATTTGGTATTCGGAAATCATCGAGATGCAGTCTCTGTAATTGAATGAGTAACGTATAAAGATAATTAAAACAGGTTCAGTTTTTAAACTAAACCAAAGGAGCCTCTTATGAGCATAAAAGTAGATTTTTATAGCTTCATATATAAATGTGTAAATAATCCACAACATTATTCGATATTATAACCCAAAACGTAACTATTTATAATAGGACCTCCTGAAAAAGACGCCCACTTAAACGTTAAAATAGCACGATTTCGAATTACTTAATCTTCATTGAATGACAACTTCTCAGTGAGGACTTCTCTTACTTCCATTCACTGCTTTACAACTCTAACATTTTTGAAACTAAGTAAAATAATCTAATTTAAAGAAAATATTAACGTAAAATATATACAAATACTGTTATTAAAAATTAATTTTATGTTATTTTAAATTGGAACTGGTTTTTAGACTATATATACACTCATTGAACATTCAATCAATTTTTAGGAGTTATAATGAGTTATAACTTTCCTTAATTGAAATGAAAAATATATATGTATATGAGTACATATGCATATACATATATTATGTTTTACATATATTATGAGTTGTTTAAGTTGTTCTTAAAAGTATGTAGTTTACAATATATTCCGAAGGGATCATTGAAATCACTGCTTAAACATGGCAGTTATAAGTATGTATTATCTATGATTTAGTCAAAATTTATACAATATTTTATAATAAAATATTATCGGCATTGGATTGAACTTATTTGAAAAAGTGTAGAACTTGTCAGAATTGTGCTGTACATAAGTAAGTATTTTATTTGATCGGTAATTACTGTATAAATTTATATATCAATAATATACATAATCTATTTGTACCTGTTTAACAATGACCTGCAATGAGGAACATAGGAGGATTAACATTACTGCTAGCTAATTTAGAAACCAGAGTCATAAAAGTTATAAAAGTTTTGTTTATAATATTTCTCGTTCATAAACATTATTTCATCTATTAACTGAGTACGTCTATTGCTTACAATTGGAAACATTACATCAATTATGGACCTTATTTATAGATTTCAAAATTACAAGCGTTGATTAGAACCACTTATCAAAATACAACTAATAAAAGCAAATAAAACGACATAAATGTTGCGGCTGTATCTAAATCATGTATAACATCTAAAATCTTTGGAATTTGAAACTACAACACTGCTAAATTTATCTCGTAATTTATCCTAGCCATAAAGAATTGTTTAACAAAATTTAGAATTTTACAATATTTATTAATAATAGATCTTTTGTGTTTTTTCGATATTTAAAAGAAACTGTACAGATAAAATAGTAGTTTTATCAAAGCTTAAAAAAAATTACTGACAAATATGTAAGGCCTTTTCTATATTGTTAGTTCATATATAGACTAAAGAACTTAAACTTTCATATGGAGTGGAGGCTTTGGTTAGATTATACTGGCGATCATAAGGATCCATTTAGGCCTATTAAGCCGTTGTGTTATAGTAAACGAACTCAGAGGTTTAAAACCTACCTTGAACTTTTGGCAAAATCTAATACTTAGTAATATTTTGTTATAATTATTAGCATAAATTGCGTATATATTTTCAAAAGCCACTTACCTATTTTTATCTTCACATCCTGGTGGTACCTCATCAGGACGTGCAATTATTTGCGGCACATCACGAAACTCTTCAAAGATACTTGAACGACGATCCACAAATTTAATCAACTCTGTAGCATTAAGAGCATTATGCTTCAGCGACGGATCATCGAATGCAGCATTACCAAAGGAACGTTTTGAAGCACGCATAGCTGCACCTTTACGGCGTACACTACCCAAAACTGAAACATTATCTAAACTATAAGCATCCATGCTAACTGGACGGCATCGTTGTCCATATGACATTTGTTTTTGACGTTTACGCATCAGATAGAGGAAAGCAACTAATAATATTAGTGCTATTACACCCACTATGCTTACAGTGATAGCAATAATGACATTAACATCACTTTCATTGCCATCAGTGGGTGATGAGTGTTGTATATTGCCACCAGCAAGGGTATGATCTGGTGGAATTGTATTTACAGGAGGCATGCCGACAACATCGTTGCTCGAAGTAGGTAACATTTTAAATGATGTGATAGTCGTTGCTACGGTAGTTATCGGAACTGATGTTGAAGCTACTGTGGTGGGTATATTTAAAGTGGTGGTTATAGGTAAATTTGCGGAGGTGGTTATTGGTATATCATCAGGTGAAATAGTAGAAATAGTTGGAGGTATATTTGTAGTTTGTGCTGTAGTTAATGGCGCTGTTGTCGTAGTTGTAGTAGCAATAATTTTATAAATATCCTCCGTTTTCGTGGTTATAGGAACAGGTGTTGTAGTAACTGGTTTTGTTGTCGTATGGTCTAATAAATTTATTAAAGGTGATTCAGTTGTTGGTATTGTTGTTGTTGTTGTCGAAGTTGTAGTTGTTGTGGGTGCCGCAGTTGTAGTTGTGGTGCTTGATGCGCTATTCATAGTAGTTGTTGTTATATCCGTTAACAATTTTTCTTCATCCTTATTTTCTTTATTGTTGATGTCTTTATCAAAACTGTTATCCGACTCTGCTAAAGAGTTCGATTGTGTTTCAACGAGTTTATCATCTGCTGTTATTTTGTCTTGTGCACCTGTTGTTGTAGCTGTTGTTTTTGTTGTCGTTAACGGTTTATCCAAAGTATCGATTACGTTGTTAGTCTCTATAGAAGCGTCTTTAGAATCAGTACTTGTATTATTGAGTATTTGGCCAGTTGTGGTTATTTTTGCTGTAGTCGTTTCTTCCTCTACTACATCTACATTGTTAATTCTAACAGGTGTTACCTTTGTGGAAGCCTCCCCTGTCTCAAGAATTGACCCAATTGTTGCTATGGTTGGCAGTGAAGGTGAAAAAGTTGTTACCGTTGCTATTGGGGTTGTTTTCGTCGCAACTGTTATTGCCAATGTGGTAGTAGCTGGTGTTGTTCCAGTAGTCGCAGTTTTCGTTGTAAATATTAATAACTCGTTCTCATGCGACGATATTGTCGTAGTTTTTTCTGTGGTCGTTTCGGCCAAAATCGTTTTTGTACTAATCAAATCAGTGACACTGTCGCTAGGAGCTTGCTTATTTTCTTGCTTATTTTCTTTTTTGTCTAAATCCAATTGATTGCCAATTTGATTGTTAATTTCCGTCGTTGTTAATATAGTTTCATTTTTTGCCAAAACTGTTGGTAATATTGTTTCCGTTGTAGTACTAATTGCTGGCTCTACGGTAATGCCGTCTTCGACGTCGTTATTTTTATCTTTAAGTGTTTGTAAATTTTCATTCAAACCGAAACGCGTTTCATTGGCACTTGCAACCACTTTGCCAGTTGGAAGCAGACTAAGCGTAGTTGTCTCAGTTAAGGAATGCTCAAGTGTAGTCACGTTGTGAGCGTAAGTGTTATCATGCTCATTAGCGTTAGTCATGACGACGCCGCCGCCTTCTTTATTGTTATTTTTTTTCTGAACTTTAAAAATGTTTACTTCATTCTGACTGCCATCAGTTTGTGTTGTTGCGGGTGTAGATGATGTTAAATCCAGTAAATTCGATTTAGATTTTATTATGTCACTTTCAGTGTTCTTGGAATGATTATCTGGGAGCGTCACTATTACTGTTGCCGCTGTTGTATGTTGTTCAAGCGTTGTAATTTGTTGAGGGACTGCAGATGTTGTGGTTGTAGTAGGTTGTTGCCATTGAAGAGTATTTGCAATATTTATGTGCTCTTTCAATTCATCGTCTACTCTTTTCAGTGTAGTCTCTGTTTGTGTATTGGATATAGTTTCCAATGTCGTTTCATCTACACTCGAAGAGGGAGTTGGAATGTTTTTACTGATAAGCTCTTTCTTATCAGTGATATCAGCTGATAAAATTGCTGTTGTGACTGTTATACTCTCTGGTGTACTTACCGTAGAGGTCGCGAATAAAACAGTTGGCAAATTTGTTGTAAGTGAAGTGCTATTATACAAGGTTGTAGCAGTAGTTGGTGAAGAAATATTAGATAAACTATTATAACCACTTACAATGTTTGTAATATCATTGACTTGTGTAGAAATTGGTTGTGCAGTTGTTGTTGTTGTTGTGTCTTCTTTATTTAAAAGCACTAAATTACCTTTAGTCTTCATCTTTGTGACTAAATCAGTGTTCAACATAATTTGTGTCCAATCCAATAAATTCTTCTCACTATGACTATCACTGTCATTAACATTATTGAAATCGCTATGCAGATCTTTTTCCATAAAAGCGGTTTTCACACTCAACGGTGCTGTTAGCTGACTTTCAACTGAACTGTGATTCATTTTAGGTACAGTTTTCATACCTGCTAAACTCCATACTTCTGCAGCATCAGGTAGATTCATTTGTTGTGCATTTGTAGAATTATCATTAATAAATTTAGCACGCTTTACTGCAGTCGTATTTATATTATTTATATGTATCTCATTCGATTCTTCATTAGGGTTTGAAATATTTACTTTACTTACAGTTGACGCAGTTGTTGTTATTATTTGTGTAGCCTGTGGTATAACAGTGGTCTCATTACTTGACAAAGCAACTTGTATTGTTGGTTTTACTGGAGGTGACTCAGTTTGCATACTATCCAATGCAGACTTATCTACTTTTTTGGTAGTAAATGTCGTCGCTTCTTGTGAATTATCAGACAATTCTGTACTATGTAGCATAGCAATTTGATCTGTATGCTTTACGTCTATTGGTGTATTGGTAGTTGTATTTTCTGCAGTAGTAACACCTTTTTTATCCTGTGTATGTTTCACAGCTAATTCTTCTATTTCAACTAAAACATTCTCAGTTGTAATTTCAACAGGAGTTACACTTGTTGTCTCTAAGTTATCGTTCCATACCAAACCACTATCGATACTATACATATGACTGATGTTTTGGACATTGCCTGATATAGTATCATTTTTGCTATTATGACTAAATATTGCTGCTTTTGTAGTTGATTCGTCATCACCTCTCACCGCTTTCAAAAGCATTCTTTTTTCTGAACCATTTACCACTACCGTGCTCCCGTGACTTAGGTTGTTTAACTTTGTAGTTTCCGGTTTTGTAATGCCCTCACTCGTGCTCGTATTCCGCACCTCCAAATTGGTTGCCGCACCATTTCCAACAATGTCAGGGTCATTTTTCCTAGCGCTTATTGCTTCTAATGTTTTATCGTTACTATTATCACTGGCAATTTCGCTAGTCCTAATGACTCCCGCCTGTGTTTTTGTGGTCAAGATCGTGAGTATTATTATTTGACTTATTAAAATAGTAGTGACAATTTTTGAAAACGTGCCAAAATGCATAAATTGTGGCATATTTAATAACGAATCGCTTATTGCGTCGATAATCTCAGCAACATTAAAGGCAATTGGAATGTTGTAAATTTCGGCGTGACAATGGTGGGAAATTCGGGGTTTTTACTTAACTGTAATTTTGTAGTTGTTTATTTTTGTTATTATTTTTCTATTATTTACTTAAATTTTTATGTTGCGTTACCGTCACTTCAGTTTCAGTGTCTATTCAAGTTTTTGTTCAGTTTTAGTTTTGTACTTTGATGCACCTTTGCGTATGTGTACTCTTTTGGAATGTTTTTAAATTCCATGTACCCATTTTGGATGCGAGTTTTCGACTTTTCGACTTTTCTGTTTTATGCTGACGACTTATTTGTGCCGTGATTTTTAATTATCAACAATTTTTGGATTCATACATTAGAAACTGTAAATAAATGAGACAATTTCATCAATTATTAAAAATGTTAGCTAATTTTGTTTATTATTAAATAATTTTACAATTAATAATAATATTAAATTTATATTAATGTTATTATTATTTTACAGCATTGAGTTAAGTTTGTCACAGAAATCTTTAAGAATTAAGTCTATATCTAAGCTTAAGAATATTTTAATTTCTGCTATATTAGTGGAGTCAGTGAAGATATCATTGACTGTAGGTCCAAATAAAAAAAAAGGTATTTTAATTAATATTATCTTTTGAAATTTCTGGCTTACGAATTATAATTCAAAAATCGACCATATAAAAGGGTTTTAAAATCGGTTTGAGTCTACATAATTTATTGTCTAGTCATGGTGTTAGTCATGTGTTTCTCGATTCTCTCGATTCAATGATGGGATTCGAGTTCACATGAAATAATGTTTATTAAAACTGTATTATCAACAAAAAAAGAGAGACAAATTTTATAAAACTTAACATATATTATAAAAACCTTTACTTTGAACAACTATTGACTTATTAGTGTATTAATCGCCAGAAGGAGCTTGAATAAAAAATTAACATTTCTACATTTCTGTGATTTTTAATTATGATTTTGTAGTCTCACCGAACAATTTTCCAACAATGATTTCTCACAAACTTAAAATAGTAATTTTATTGAGAACCTTTTTTTGATACTTTATTTTTTGGAAACTTTTTTATTGTCAAACCATGTTATTACATAAGAGGTTATCATCCAAAATTTAAATGCAAAATATTAAAAACATCTTTTTTCAACTAATGACTTCGTAATTCCTGACAATAAATGTAATGTGAAGACTTTTTATGAATCGAGGCAGTAAATAGTACCTAAAACAAGCACTCAAAACAAATTTAACCACAAGCAGTCTAAATAACTAACACTATTAATATATTCATCGTTAACTTGAGAGAACTGATCAATACTATGGATGACAACCTAACTGCAGTTACAAATACAAATATCTATCAAAACTTAAAAATAGAAGAAGTATTATAATATTTCCCTGCAGAGAGCACAAAAAATCTTAGTTTTAAGGTCTGACGTTTAGAATATACATGCACAAAAATTGTAAGACTACAGCTAGTAAGTACCAATATACACAAATAATCAGAAAAAAAAAACAGGACGGAAACCACATAAATTTAATTTGGATATATATACCTTTATATATGTATATGTATCCTTGAGTCTTTAATTATCAGTCTATTTTTGTAACCTTCAGTATGTGTTCATTTTGCTTTATTTTTAATATCAGAATTAAGTTAGGTTAGGTTGGAGTGGCGGCCTTGTATCTAAAGCCCAATGAGGCTTAAATAATGGCTCAATGTAGTACGACGGGATGAGCGCTTACACGTGCGCCGAATAGAGGTTAGCATAAGAGCAACGCTGAAAGGCCCAACTCCCCCATTACGTAAAGGTTGGCTGCTTAAAAGGGGTGTCAAGATAGCTGTAGTTAAAACCCAAACTAACGCAGGTAGAATGATTGTATTCATTTGCAACCATTCAGCATAAGTGTTAGATAGCCCTCGCTCCTCACCAAGGGGGAAGTTAGGCCCAAACACTTAACTTCAACTGGTACCGGCGGAATTCCTCGAAGTTCCAATGGGGCATTCATCGGCGAAATATGCCGATGCAAGTGTGAAAAACACCGCTGACTGGCTCTTCAGTCCTACCACTAAAATTACCGATTACACTCAGCTTATTTTTTATACCAGAAAATTTATAAGCATTTTTTAAAGAGAATTTTTTGTTTTTACTTACTTTTAAAATCCATTAAACAAACTTATGCTCCTGATAGTAGTTTACATTAAATACTATAGAAATAATAAATTATATGTATGATACGCATTTTTACGAAAAGCTGTCAATTACATTATAATCGTTCATATAACTATTATTGAACTTAATATAATATCTCCCCTTTTTCTTACTATGTTACTGAATCCCATATTTATTACCTACAAAACTTTAAAGAAAAACAATCAAAAATTCACATTTTGATGTATTGACATTTGACGCCGAAATATTTACTCGTAACCTAACAACCCACGCACTTACCTATATAAAACCTGAAGTAAAATTCTATAAAAGAGTTGGAAATTTGAAGTTTGGAAGTGATAGCTGTCAGTCATTAAAACTTAAATGTTGTGCAAACATTCTTAACTGTTGCTTAAAATGACTTGCCCATGTGATCAAAAGCATATCAGAGTTTGTGTGGGAAAACGATTACTCCAACTATTAAGGCATGTAATTGTTATTACATTTCATAGTTACAAAACCATTGGGCCAACATTGATTACCAGAGATATGCCATAAACAAACCAATAAAAAAAAACTCCATTACAAAATCGTATGAATCGGTCGGTCATCAGCACCGTTTGCCGGCTGGCAATATGTCAATATGGGCTCAGTGCAATTGACATGAAATTATTACTTATTTATTTGCTCGTTCATTACTGCAATTGTATCAGCGGAGATAAAAATGCAGAGATAAACATGAAAGTAAAACTAAATAATGTTTATTTTTAGTTCCACAAAATTGCTAGAGTGATATTGAACATGAACTCCCCTCCTATCGGTGGAAATTCGTTGCAAAGGTGTTTCATTGAATTGGGGTTCAGCGCATTCGTGCATATGTTACACATTTCCGTGCACTTTCAAGAGTTGAATAAACTTTGGATTCAAAAATAAAATAAATTAGTAGTAAATTGTAGTAAAATGTAGTAAGAAGCTAATAATGAATGGTATGGTGGTGGAGTATGAAGGTTCAGACCTTTGTCACATTTTGTTATAGCAAAATAATTGCCATTAGTGCAATGAACTTACAATTAGCTTTTATCTGGTAATGCGCTCTTTGCCATTTAGTTAATATCATTAAATGTATGCCACTGGTTTTCTATACATTTTATTATGTTTTATGGCTTTTACGTCTTTCATTTAATATTCAGCAATTAAATAACTATGATAGACAATACGAATATGAGAATGACTAATTTATTTAAGTAATCACATTCATTCGATAAGATAAAATTAAGACAATAAGTAAAGAAAATATAATTTTATAGACCTGAAGGTGAATGAAAAAAAAACAACATATTAACAATTATAACGTAAAGTTCATGTACTATAAAATGACAAAATGCTATAAAATGTAAAATATTAGTGCATACTTTCAGGCACAATTTTTAAAATATATTTCGTAATGATCATTAGACATATTTTTAATATAGTATGAAAACCTTTAAATAATAATAATTATAATATAATAATTTATTAATTATAATTAATTATTACAACAAAAATCTTTGTAAATTCAAATAACAATTATGGTATTAATTTTTAAGCATTTTTCTATGAGATGAAGTAAGAACACATAATTAACGTAATTGCTACAATAGTACTTGCTTAAATACGTATTAATGTCGAATCTTGTCAACGAACTTGTCAAATTCTTGTGTTATAAATGTCTTACTCTTGTATAATATATTCTTTATTCGTACACTATTATTGCACCTTATATTAAATATTTTAATATAGAGCTTAAAATATTATATCTATTACGAATAATGAAGTTGGTAAGTAAAAAAGTGCCTATCGATTAATTAATTGATACCATATATTTATGTTGAAGCTATTTGAGGCAGTGCACTTGAGCACTTTTACTCTTTATTAAATCGAGGATCTTCAAACCCCCTCTTTACGCCTTGACTGGATTATTGTTTATCACTTCGTCACACTAAGCAATAATTGACCTCAGATCTGTATATCTCCAGAAGGAACCTGTAACCATTCTGAGATTCGAAAACGCGGTGTTGGTAAGTCTGTGGGCCTATATACACTATCATGAACGTAACATGAACTTAAAAGCCGGTTACCGACAGATGAGAGAGGGAAGAGAGTGTGATGTGAGTTCATGAATTTGAAGCGACGAAGCTGCTTTTAAGCTGCGTTTTTTTCAGCTTGACATGCTTACATATGCAATGTTACGTTTATGTTTACCTTTTAATGCTGAATACTTTGAATTTCTGCACTAGTACACACAACCATTTTATAAGTTTACACAAAACAAATTTCACGCTCATGACAGTTCATGATAGTGTAAACTGAACTGACAGTTCATGTTGTCGTCAAGTTCATGATAGTGTAAATAGGCTCTGTCTATCCTTTATGTATTTTTTAATCGGATCAATTTTGAGGTCCCTGAGGATGTCATTCGTCCTAATGTACTATGGTACCTTGAAAAGTCTTCTCAGAGCCTGACTTTGTGCAATTTCTAGCTGGCGAATAGTAGTGTTTGAAGCTTTGCTAAAGGCTACACATCCATATATTGTGCTTTATTATTATTATATTTTTTTATTCTAATGATGGTGAAATTGATTAATTTTGAATAATAAAAAAATTTTTTAATTAGTTTTAAAAATATTTTATCGGTCAAATTAATATTACAGTTTTTGTTACCTAAATCCAGCTCTACTAAACCAAGTCAAAAGTTCTAAACAAGCTGCTACCACAACTTTTGTTTTTATTTTTTTGTTATATTCCGTAATGTTAATGCCGTTATGTAAAAAATAAATAGAAAAAAAATCTGAGGACAACAAATACATAACGAATGATGGCCTCTAAATAAAGTGAATAGATGTGTATAAGGTATTTTACGGACAATATGAAACAAATGCTATCAAACGGCTTAAGTGAATCTATTAGATAAAATTAAAGCAAAGTTTATACCTATGTTATATTTGACATAAGTAACATAGTCTTATTAAAATAATTATTTTATACGCCAATAACAATACTAACGACTAATTACGTTTTACATATTAATATAAAATACTTTATGTAAAATTAATGAGAATTACAATTGAAGATATTTTAGCCGATTTAAATTTTTTTGTATATCGTTTAATTTTGTTAACACACCTGCTAAATTAAATGGAATACACAATTTTCTTCCAGAAATTTATAATTTTTAACCTGTTGACTTTGCTCATAATATATATTATTTTGATTACTGCTAAACCATGGAAATTGTTTTTTGATAAACTGTTATTGTATCTATAGACCACACTTGTAACTTAGATGTTAACTACTGTTATCAATATGTCAGCAGTAATATGTATGAATTTTTCCTTACTTCTTGAACTATCCATTGCCAAACAGTATCACATAATCCTTTCGGTCCTCGTCGTATCCTTAATCTCAATCAATTTAAAATAAAAAAAAATCATGCATAACAGAAGATAGAAGAATAAGGGTCCTTGTCTTATCCTCAATCTCTTTCAATCTAAATTCTAACAAAATCATGCATAGCAGAACATAGAAGAAGACACTGCATTACTGATAATTCTCCGCTAAGCCTTAATTATGCTCTTATATCGTAAGACAAGGTTTGACTATACCATACGTATGTACGTTTTTCAGAATCAAAAGATCATTTAAATGTTATATTTATTTGCTGTATCCTGATCATTTAGGAGGCAAATAATATATAAAAACTATATGATCTTCTATTTCCAACTGTCAAAATACTATATAAAATACTATACTTTCTTTTTGTAAACTCTAATTTTTTTATATAGACGTGTCTTTTTAGCACTTGTAACTTTATATGAAAATAGTACTATATCTTTATTACTAATTACATTGCTACATCCTTTTAGACTTGTCCCTCCTATAATTTATAATATTTTCATAATTTTGTAGCACTTCTTCCATGACGTGCTTCGCAAAAATGCATCAAAATGAGTGCACCAAAAAGCTGCAAAGCGGAACGATAAAGTTCTGAATGAACTTATATGTATTTATAAAACTATGTACTGATATATATGTAAATACACGCGAGAGAGCATTTATTTACAAAAACATATATTAACTAATATATTGCCATTATACCCGTATGCTAATAGTAAGGAACGTCAGGTACATTGCACGGTTCAATATTTTGTGTTTTCTAATATTATTTAAAAGAGTACATCTAATAAGAGGATTAACGGCATGTATATAATTCTTTAATACAAACTTTTTCTGACTTACATCCCAAAATTAAGATTTAAGATTAAGATTTCCTTTTAATGGGCGTTAGCAAGATATCAAATAATAATGATAATAACAACTTCCGTAATTACAAGATACGAGTACATTATGCATTCTTAATAAACTACAATTCGTTGAGTATAAAATGTTTTCGCAGCATCATTTGATATTAATTAGAACTAATTGACACTTCCAACTACTAGCATAATAAAAATTAAAAAATAGAATGTTGGATTCTAGTTATACTTGAGCTCGTCATGCAACACATCGTATAATAATTAGTTTAATTACATTTATTTATATAAGTAGATGTCTCCATATGGAATGGTTTACCTGGGAGTATGTAATTACGAATAATTCTCGGTGTAGGTGCTTTACCCTACAAAACTGTATAATTTGTGCGTAATGCAGTATAAAATTTTTTTTAGTGTATAATTCTAAACCCAAGTTAGTTTTTATTTGATTCTGCTATTTGCCTTGCTTTTAGTTCAACAACCGCAAAAAATATTTAAAATTAGAAATGATGGCGGAGGAGGAGATATAAAGCATAGATCAAAAAATGACAAATTTATTTACCTATTTTATGCTCTAATTTTCTATTTAATTAAAAATTTAAAAATGCGGATTTTGGTTTTCTTAATTCAAATGAAATGATAATTTAAATACTGTTTTTCTTTAATACTATGCAAAATGTATGTTAAATAATGCTTTTGTCTAGGCACTGTTAAATTATATCTTATAATCTTAGCACATTTTATCGTATCTACACTTGGAATTTAAAAATTTACATATTAAGATTTGTGGAAAATGACTGATGAATCTTTACTCTCATCTTAGAAGTCTTAAAAAAATCCAAAAAGTATTGTATACTTCTAAGGCGCTTCTTAACATAGTGAAAATTGGGTAACAATGCTATTTCGAGGTATATTCAAAAGTACACATAAACTTTTAAAATCCTATTACGAGTTATCTTTCAAAGTACACATAATTTTTTAAGAACAGATATTTGTAGAAGACTATCTATCTACGTATATTGGTAAGGTACATCCATTTCTCAAATACTGTCAAAATTTCATGTCGTTTGAGCAATTAGAATTGGACTTATTAAGTCAGAGATAATAACGTTCCATAATTTTAAATTTATTGCGAATAGAATTACATCTGATCAGTAAGAAGAAGTCTTAAGTTTAAAAGCATTCAAATCAATAAATAAATATTTTTGAAATGATTTATAATAAATTATAGTCATCCATAACCAAACAAGTCTAAAAAGTAATGGAAAGTAGTTCAATGGCTCCGTACCAGCACCCGTGCAAGTAGAACCGAGCCAAACACATACTGAAATAATGGTTAGTAAAATTTTTCATAGTGATCGGAGAAAGTGTTCCGGACTACATGTACAGTGGTCTAATAAAATTATAGAATGAAATATCACCATATGAAATAATATGTGTACCATATTAAAAGGATGATTAAAATAATAAGGTTTTGGGTAATAAGAGGAGCTTATAGTAATGAAAATTTGTGAATTTATAATAAAAATACAAAATTATGTTATGATAAAAAAATTATGATGTTTCCATAATTCGAGAACAATAATGTTAATGCTTTCAGAAATGCTTTAAAAAATTACAAAAATCATTTTTTCTATGATATCTAAAAATTCTAATATTTACTATACACATACCTATTAACTTTAAAATGTATAAATCTCAGCCCCAAAATTTTTTCTAAGCTATCCCAAGCTATTATACAAATCAAATGAAATATACTTAATATCGCTAATATTAATATATTGATTACAACAATAGTGATGTTATTTCTTCTAATTTAGTAATGTATATGTTTAATTGTACTTACCGCTTTAAGTTGTTTCTTTAAGATTATTATTTATGATTATAGCACACAACTAACATCTCCAGGTTTTACCGAAATAAAGAAATACTGATATACAATGAAACGAGTTTTGTGGATTTGCTACAGGCAAAAAGACTCAACACTTTTGACTCGAATACAACTGGAATACACCTATATAAGTATTAACTCATTAGTTATTAATAAACATTCAAACTTAAAATAAATTATAAATAAAATATAAATTATAATTTAAAATATAGAATATTTTAAACATTTTCCTAATTTCGGCTCTTGATACGCCTCTGTCTGAACCAGTAGAAAAGAAATTTTCAAGATGACCTTTCTTTTGAATCTAATTTAAATTTCATCAGTTTACTGGAACCCCTTCATAAATTATAATACATATTACGAATGCGTTATAACTTCGTTGTTTTTCAACCGATTTTCTTGATATTTGAAATATATGTTAAACAAATTAAATGAGATAATATTTTGCGTGATTTTTAAAGATTTTTGGGGCCTAAAATAGGTATAAAACCAGTGACGACGCGTGCCCTATCTGGAAGGGTGTGCGGCCCTTCTTTAATGTTGTTTTTACATGTACCATTTAAATTAAAATATATGAGATGTTTTGTTAATAATAACCATATTATATTAGGCAACAATACATATATTCGCAATATTATATTAACAATTCATTAACAAAATAACATATTAAATAAATTAAATTAATGATTTATATATAAATTTAATATTATATCAATATGGAAGAAACAAAACTTTTCACATAATTCTCGTAACATCAAACCAACTTTTTTCAAACAAAAGAGTTTTAACTCAGAACCATACATGTTTATGCAGTGATCAAACAAAATCAAACCCACTTGCAACGTATAAATGTGCGGACAAGTACTCCGCACAGTGAGCGACAGAAATTCGTGGGTGCTACTGTTAAAAGGGGAGAGACGAAATGTGATAGAAATGTATGGTGAGATGAGCTGCAAACTTCAGCCGCTCATGCAACCACTTTGGCAAATCATCATGTTGGATTCGTATGCATGCAGTTGATATTCGAGTAGAACAGAAAATTACTCTCATACAATTCCCACTATATAAATCTCTATTTCTGATATTACGAACGGGAGCACACGCACATTATTTTGTTCATATGCAACGTATGAATGTGCGGCCAACTTCATTGCACACAAAGGGGAGAGGTGAAATATAATAGAAATGTTCTGTGATTTGAGCTGTAAATATATGAGCACAACTAACAAATATAACAGCTAACAGAAGCAAATTGATTGAGTTTTCATAGACAATTTAATTGTTTTTGCTAAAACTTTAAAAATATATATATGGAAATGTAATAAATAATAATAATTTTTGATATGAAGATACTTAATAAATTTATATACCTATGTTATTTGACATTTTGTAAATTATGTTAGGGTGTTCACCGCACACCTCCGCACCTTAGAGCAATCGTCACTATATAAAACATAGTTTTACCATTTGGCTATTAGTAGGAAAAGTTGTATAGAAAAAGTCGGATGCAATTGCTTTAATACGAAACCCGCTGTATATAATAAATATATTCAAAATAAAACTGAATTTTTAAATAAAATATAATAAATATTTATATATGTGTATATTAATAAATATATATAATACTCGCTATTAATAAATTAATATAAATAATAAGAAATATATAACAAGCAAATCCTAAAAGCAATATATATAAATTATATAAATATAATAAGTAAAAAGTAAGTATATAATAATTGATATAAAATCAACAGTAAAATATTGTATAATTGAGAAAATTGATAAAATCACAATTTTTGTTATTGTTTTTAATTATATTTTGAATTTTAATTTAGTTTATTTATTTCACTAAATATATTAAAAACTTTCTCTTGAATTGCAATAAACTGTGGTGTAGAGTTTTGTTACCTAAAGAACAAAAAACGTAGGCGTTCCAAAACTGTAAAACTAAGCAAGTCGACAATTTTTGTAGTAATATTGTCAATATACTATAATCAATTATAACCAAATATGCACAAATCAGTAATTTGAAGTCTGTTAACATTTTTAGAGGTTATTTTTTTAATAAATATTTGCATTGAAAATAAGATACAAACATTGAAGTTTCGTTAGATTAGTTTAGATTTGAGTGTTTCCAGTGCCTTGACCGTCATAAAGAGAGATGTCAATAATTTGAAAAATTGATTGATTATTGACTTTAGTAAACAACTTTGAATTAGTAAACATTCTCTTATTTCAACTAATGAATGCAATACTAATTTATTTACCTTTTTTGACTATACAAAGCACTTTACTTTATTAAGTTTTGAGTTTTGTAGAATTTAACAAACTTGAATAGTAGTGTGAGTTACCTTAAATCATGTAAAACTCGGATAGGAAGAAGTAAAGTTGCTGTATTCATAAGAATATATCTACAATATAAACAGCTTACATTTCCTTGAATGTGATTAGAATATTGTATTTTTATTTTCTATTAAATTGAATTATAACGCCCGGTTTGGATGAAAGAAACTAAATTCATAACATAGTCAAATTTTCATAACTCGAAGTACCATTTTACAAAGAAACTAGAATTACATTTTAAGATATTTATTTATTTGAAATCAATAAATATTAAATCAAAGAGAGCACATAAGTTATAGAAAAATTCAGAAATTAAGGTTAGAGATTTTTTTTTTTGTATTTTTAGTAAAAAAAGATTCCAATTTATTCCAAGCCTTATAATGGTCATGAGTTAGAATAGTATTCGATTGCAAATAAAGATTCAGAATTCAGTCTTGTACTTCATTCTTGGAAGACAGATGAACAATTTCATCCACCAAACCCTCATCATCACTTTCCGTTGCGCTGAGAATCGGATCCACTAATTCAGAGCTATAATGCTCAATAATATCGGCATCTGTAGGAAAGATTGATGTACAAATTTCATTGTCAAGCTCAATATAATCGTTAAGAGAAGCATTGGAAGTTATTTTATTTACTTGAAACCGCAGTTAAACTACGACTGGCATTTGCACAAAAAAGCAACATAAGAAAAAAAAATAAAATACTTGATTTGAAAGGACATTCCCTAACACCAAAATGAATTCATCCTTAAAACAAAAATTCGACTTATAGAACGCACTTTCCCATATTCTAATTTGCTCTCTTAAACCCTGTTGCACTCTTTTTAGTTCGAGTTATAGAAAATTCGAGTTATAGAGGGTTGAGTGTATAAACTACAAACTTTCAATAGAGAGGTATTTCGAATAGTATTAAATTACAATAATAAAATTTTATTATTTTATTAATTTATTGAATTTATGGTTGTATGGTCACAGCTGTTTCGAGTATTGCCACATACCCGTCATCACCATCGTCAGTCGTCTGGAAATTATTTCTTATATTTAATTATTCGTAAATAATTTTGCAGTTACCGAGGTTTGAAAATGTCCTCTGCCAAAATTAAAGCTCAGAGTCGGTGTTCATATGCCAACTGACCCAAAGATGTACTTGAATTGTATGTTCGCACTTTTTTCTGGATTTTTGTTAATTTGCAGTGAAAGTTCATTAACAAATTTACTTGCTGTGTATTAAATTTTTTTTTAATTGTTAAATTTTAATACTATTCTTTAGTAGAGTCATTATTTATTGCATTAATTAATTTTTATTTTTATATGAAGTCAATATTAAGTACATTAACTCTTTTTAAGGAATGCCTTTTTTTTATGTAAGTATTACTTCGAGGAACGGTTCCTATTAGTAATTTAAGACTTTCATTGGCTTGACCTGCGTCCAGGCCCCGCTACTTATTCAAGTGATTAACATGCCCTTCATCTTGATTCTTCAGAATCTTTTCAGCAAATATTGGGATCGCATAATCCCAGTTTGTCGTTGGGGAGAAAACACCAACTTGTGGTGCTAATTTTTCTCGTTCGGATGTTTTTTCCATTATGTGATAAGCATGTTCACATAGTGTGACCAACATTTGTCATTATTTCAAGGTTATGACGTAACCATTGTATCTCATACCATAATTAATGTCATTTTGATGGAATTGTCTGTTATATCGAGACATTAAAATGTACTAAATCCATCTCAAATTTAAAGATATTACATTGTGGTGTTATAGATATCACTAACTGTTTCAGTAATATTATAAGAAATGTAATAATTAAAAATTTATATTTTGAAAACGTTTTTTATGTATAAATATATTTAAAAATTTCTCTTAAAATAGCTAATTTAAAATTGTGTAAAATTTTAGAAGTACAAGAAATCAAGTAAATTTCAGAATATCATTGGGGTAAACTGTTATCTTAGCATTGATATACTCCGAACTTTGATGCATTGATTAATCAAATTTAATCATTTTGAAAATAACTTGATATTATGTAGCAATAAACAAATTTTTTTTTAATTTCATTGGAATCTACAAATAATGAAGATTTATAGCGGCGAAAGATATAATATCAAAACATGAAATACCTTTTATGATTCATAAATTTAATCATCGATGACAACACTAACATCAATTATCTAACATAAAAGTTATTTAGTGACTATGTAAGCTTAGATAATGCATTGGAGTTTAAAATTTTAAGAATCTTCGAAAGATAAGGCGAAACTACTAAACTCTCACTGCAGGAATGTACACAAAAATTAAATACATTCAAACGAAAACATTTCGGAATATTTAAATTGAATTAAAATACAAAATATCTTATAAAAATAACACAAAAAGAAATCTCTCCAAACTAAAATCGAATAAAGATGGAAAGAAAGATGATGTTACATGTTAACAGACTCTGCAGTAAAATTTGCTTTGAGTTGCAAATTGATTTTCATTTGATTAAAAAAAAAATATCTAACTAATAACTAATATCAGTTCAGTGAAATGTATTTGCCAAGTATGGTTTTAATACTTATTTTCTTACTTTTTCAAACTATTATATATGCAAATCAATATAAAAGAAACAGATTATGATATTCATTATTATTGGAACGAAAAAATTGGAGTACAACATGTATAAGCTAATCAATAGATAGATGCAATTCTTAGTTACATGAAACCAATCTCACTTGCGTCTACTTTATGTATTCAGAAACTCAAAGCATTTTCATATTTGTGTTGATACACTAGT